GCGTGATATCCCATACTCTATGTGTTGTACCGAGTGAATCGACTGAAAGGGAACTTCCTATTTTATGACACATTTTCGGACCATTTGGTGCAGAGCTAACATATCGTTTCCTGCATCATTTTAAAAAGCTTTGATGATCCTCTGCAACCCGTTTCTTAAAAGGATCAAATCTGATGCGCACTCAGTCTAGATGGAGAATGTGTGCGAACCCTGTTCTTATAGTCTTACCAAGTTTTCAGTTTAAACTTTGACTGGACTATTCTAACACAAAGACATGCTTTTCATCAAAACCCTTCAATAGTAGCACTGGCTGTGTGATTAGGATGAATGTCAGATGGATGTTGAACATAATCGTTTTCTTTCATGCTGTGGTTATAAAGGTATGACCACAGCATGATCCCCCCACCTCTCTGCTTCAACATGGGGATGGAGTTCAGGGTTATGTATAGATAACAATTCAAGGCCACATCAAAAATATATATTTCTTTTCTTTTCTTGGTGCTCTACCTCTGATGAAATGCACACAGGAGCCACTTTCTGCATCACTAAATAAAATTTGTGTCAACTGATCAGAGGCCTTTTGATGATCTTCTGTAACCCAGTTCTTAAAAATAGCCTAGTTAAAACTCGATGGGCGGGTGGAGATGGGATTGATTTATTAATCCAATCAGACCAATGTGGGACACTAGATGCTTTTGACCCCTTCTCCAAATCAACTAAAACAGCACTTGAGGTATTTCTCCACGAAGATCAGACAATCTGATCTAATTTCTCATCTTCCCCCATAATCTTGGCAATCAGAGATGGAGCAGGGAAAAAAAAAAAAAAAACAGCCTCGGCTTTGATCTCGACTTCGATTGATTTGCTCCTCTACGGCCTCCCTGCAAATGTGTGGCTTCCTCGCTAAAAATTCTCTGTATTCTCATTTTACAGCTGGTATATTGATTTTTGTATTTGTTCAAACAATTCTGTTCACATTAAAAACACATAGTGTGAGTTTCCCTTTTTCCCTAAACAAGATCTGAGAAATGATCAGCAGACCTAAAGGGCTCTCCTTTATGATGTGAAAAGGAAAAAAAGCATGTGGAAGATAGGGCAGATCAGATTTAAACTGGGTCAAAATATGCAGCTTTCGAGTGACGAATGTAATTGTCAACATCTTGTGGTAATCAACTCAAATTACAGCTAATTAGGATGGAAAATGACAATGGTGTGTCTCGGAAACGTATAGCTATCAGCTATACTTCTCTATCATTCCGAACAATAAACTCAGTCGTTAATTTGGAGCATTATGTTGTGATATCATGTTGGTTTTCTTTTTTCTTCTCCAGTTCAAGAAAGATCCTATTAGAGGCTCCACAAGTCAAAAATAGCAGCTGACCTGGAGTGTTTTGTAGAGCAGCTTCTGAAGATTGATGATTGATTAGAGCACAATTACTGCTGAAAGCAGCAGGACTCCTCCTTCTAATCGCTGCTTTTGTCACAAAAAGAAGATTATCACACAGGAGATGGTACTTAGAGTCACTTCCTCCCTGAAAATCAATAAAAATAAAAAAAAAACACCCAAGAGACCATGAACATACATCTGATATATCTCAGTTAAATCCCCGGGCTGGCTTTGCACGTAAACAGACAGGTGCTGTGCATTTTTGCTCGTGTGTGGGGGTGTTTGTGTGCCTCCTGTGGCTCTGACTGCATTGGAGATACTGTCCTGATACCATGTCTAATTAAAGCTGCTTTTCAATGCTGGCGCTTTGGAACCTCAGGTCCCCTCAACAATTAAAGTGCAGGATTTCTCTTATGGTCTTGAGTAAAAGACAAGAAACACGTTAAAAGGTTTGAAGGTTTGATTATCCCCCGACTTTCTCCTCGGCTCTAACATATATATATATATATATATATATATCTCCCCCCAGTTATAAAGAATCCATATCTGTCCACTTTCTTCAATTCCAGTTCAGTCCAGACATATAGCTCTGTGCAGATCAAGATGTATGCAATCCAGTTCATCATAAACAGAATAAAAAACACAAAATTTGACAACGGGGTCAGAACAACTTCTTAACTGTAGCTCTTGGGCAGACTGCAATGGTCAGTACCTTCAAGAAAGGGAAAGTGTTAAATTGACAACTACGTCATGGGGAATCAAGGCCCAGTGATGCAGATAAGGCATGATCACAGAAATATAAAGAGCAATTTGAAAAGCAAGAAATTTCTGGCTTTGTCATGCTGCAAGAGAGTGAGACGTTCAACAGATAACAGGGACATTAAACCGATTATGGAGAAGATGCTTTATTTATCCTCTTGTACTTTCAAATCATGTCTGTCATGGAGATTTGGAGATAGTGGCAGACCTTTGGAAATCTTAGAGTTAATGATAACGATCTACATTAGCAAATGGACTAGCAAACAGCACTGACTGATGTTTTAGGGTTATGGTTAGTGACCTTTTGTATGTCATGCGTTTTTCACGAGTTTCAAATATAAACCTTTAAATTAATTTGCTTCTGATTTAAAATAACACTGGGTTTCAGAATTTACTTTTCCATCTCAGACTGGTGTCATTCTGCCTCTGCTTTTTAATATAAAGTAACTATCCAATGATGGATACCACAGACAGCTACAAAATACAACTCCTGCGGCATTGTCTTGTCGCTGCTGCATAGCCACGTGCTGAATGTATCTTGTCAAGTTTGACCTCTGACCCATTCACAGTCACTCCTGAAGTCTGCTTTGTAACAGAAATAGTTCTAATGACAAAAAAAATGTTAAAATCCTTCGCATCTTGTTTTTCAAAGCCACAATTATGCTCCACAGTTTTACGTAACATGCTTGACAAACTGGAACTTTCAGTATCCTGTTATTGTCTCCTAATATAACTTTTTTTTGTGCTACGTCTATAGATTTGCTGTTTTAGTAACATGAAAAATGACAAGCAGGGAAGGACAAGGATTCTGCATTTTGTAGAACTTAAACATAGTCCTATAGTTTCTCAGCTGCCAATAAACTTGGAGAGAAAGGACTACAGATAACAGTGTCTCACCTGTGCAAAATGAGAGATGGGGGGGCAAAAAAAGCAAAATACAATGGTCTCTATACACATTCATGCTTTTATATTTCCTGAACTTCAATGACTCCATGCTTTCAATAACTGGGAATTATGCGGCCTTGAGCACGTTCTGCCTTCAAGAGCCAAAGTGTGCCTCAGACAGCCACTGATAAGGCTTCCATTAGGACTGGTATTCAAAGCCTTCGCACCCCTTAATGCACTCCTTTGGCCTGGTCACAATACCACCATATCTTATCCTCACAGGTCCGGTTAACGAGCCTGTGTTTGGTCTCCAACAGGTGTGAGAGTGTCTGAAACCTCAGTCGGACCCCAAAGGGTCTCTGCTGAGAAAGTGGTGGATCACTGGTGTGTTGTCAACTCTTCAGGAGCCGTTAATGGCTTTATTGAGATCACCTCAGAGAGGTTCACTCTAATGTCATTGAACATGGAAAAAAGGGGATGATTAAAGATGCGCATGGCATACAAAAACTCTATCTCCCTTTTATATTCAAATAGTTTCTTTCTGAACAAAAACTTTAGTGTGCATTGGTATTGTCCAATTTTACTCTGAAGCTCTAAATAAAATCCAGAGCAAGCAGCTGACTGCAGAAATCCCCCCTGAGGGTGTGAGGGGAGATTTCTGGTGTTAAAGCCACCTGGTGTGATGCATGGGTCAAAGCTGCACTGTTGGTGTTATAAAGATGAATGCTAAGGTCACATCCTCAGTTACATCACAATTTTATCTTGTCTGTTGCTCTTTTTTTCTTTTCCTTTCAGAAACTCCTGTAGACAGAAATGAACATTTTTTTGGCAAGGTGTAAGATTTTGTTTCAATCTCTTGCAAAGAAGGTCCTACAAAGATTTGGCCTCATACTTAAAGCTGTTCATGGCTTCATCATCTGTCAGGAAATGTCAAGTACCCTCCTCCTGATGGGTAGCTTTGTTCGGATCATGGGAAATCAAGGATCATTGGCAACCTTTCTTTAAACTATGACTTTGGTTTAAGGATGTAAATAATCAAATGTCATGAAAATCCGCTTAGGGCAGTTGAACTGTATCTCAGGTTGATCCCTCGAGTTAAAGGGAGGTGTAAACGCAGAATTATTTTTCATAAATGTTACAAGGACAAAGTTTACAAATGATTTATCTATGTCTCGTTTTTATAGATCACAAAAACCTGACATTTTAAGAGATTTTTACACTTTTGAGAACCACCATAACTTGTAACCAAAACCTGACATTGTTCACTTGAAGCAAACAAGCTACTAGGCATATATTTAACACATCTGTCTCCTATTGGCAGAGTTATGTCGAGCAAGGAGCAACTGACTACAGATTACTTGTTTGGGGGGGTGGGGGGGGACCCTCAATATTATTGTTACCAAACAGTCCAAATGTCTTTTTTGTTTTGTGAACTTCTGTAAAGTAAATGTGCTGACCTAATACAAGCACAAACGGCTTTACGGCACAGTGAGTGTAAAGGTGGAACAAAAGAATAATACAGGCTCTTTAAAATAATGATGAGCTCTGTAATATTCAAACCTCTCGGTGCTCACTCTGCCTCTTTTCTCAGCCCTGTTCAGGGAGAGTAATTTTCCCCCCCTTTCAGAGTTTAACAAAGCAGGAGTCCTCTGAAAGGTCAAGCCTTCTTAGCTAAAATGTACACAGTAGAATGAGTCATGTCAGGAGTCCTTTCGTCAGCTGACAACCACGGGCTCCTTGTACACACTGGACAAAAGGAGAATGTAACATCCATCGCAAACTACTCCTGTCATTGTAAAATACAGTCCCAAATTTACCAAAGACGCCACATGAAGCCTGGCGATGGAATGTGGAGGGGTCTCAGAAGCCCACTGTAAATTCAGAGAACTTAAGGAAAATGTTGTATTCACATTTTTTTTTTTTATTTTAACAAAAAACAGAGGCAAAACATACAGTTATCACTTTGCAGTCTGCATAATGGAACATTACATTTCTGTGTTACTCTGTGCACTTTATTGGAAAGACAGTTGATTAACATGTAATACAAAAGAGGTGATCAAAACGTACTCTGAATACCAAGTAAGGATTCTGTGAAGATTTCAAGTAGCTCTGACAGTTACTTCCTCCTGTGTTCTTACCGGAGGTCCTTAAAATAATCTAAGATGTATCTTTGGGGTAGTTACAGTGTCTTGCAAAAGTATTAACTTATTTTTCCAAGCTTCATATGGGGCATCAATCCATCTATCGTCTCTAACTTCATATCTTAAAGCTGCAAGTCTTTTTGTTTACATCTCCTCCTATTATGCACATATAGATTTGGACTCATTCTGTTTTGTTTTGTTTTTTTTGCAAATTTGCTCAAATACAGTCAAAGTTGATCGATATAATCTGTGAACATTAATTTTCTCAGTACATGCCTTCAGCCAAATTTAGGATTTGGCAATCCAACACATAAATGTGCTTTGATATTTTGCAAGACACTGCATCAAAACACAGTCTAATTATGAAACCAATATTCCAAAACCAGTATTTCAGTACCTGTTTTTTTCTTCTTCTTCTTTTTCAAAATCTTTCAATCACCTTTTAAACAGATGGGTGTTCACACTTACAGGATCATAGAAAAATAACTGGTTCTTTATTTACAACATCAACAGTGATACAGACAAGTTCACAGCCTTATGTACAACATCTGTTTTCAGAATCCAGCACAGCGGTGCAATCAAAAGTCCCTCTCACATTTCTATGGGCATCAGACGAATATGACACTGTAGCAGATGCCTGCTGAAGTGTAAGAAATGAATGGGATCGTGAACCTGTTTGAGATATGGCTGTTTTTTTTTTCTTCATATATGCATATGCTTCTGATTTTATCTGTGAAAACATGGCAACAGAAAGACGTTTGAACAACAAGCTATGTGTCTGAAGGCACATATTACAACCCCACTCCAGGATAGTTTGGTTTCTAAATCTCCCTTCTGACAATGAGAGAAATCCTTTAAAAACATTCCAGTCAACATTCCTGGTTTTAGGAAAGAACTATGATCCCATTCCACTTTCTTCTGTTACTTAAAAAAAAATGCTTCAAAACAATTCTTTCAATTCCTACAATAATACATATCAAAAAAAAAAATATGGGCATTTTTTCACACAATGCTTGACATCCTTCATAATTAACACAAAAGCAAGAGAAAATATTTGAGGTATTTTAAAGAATAAAAATTGTACCTTCTTTTTACATGACAAAGGGCTCAATTAAATCAGTTTTGAGCTACAACAGTATGGCATTGCAAGCGTGTCAACAGAAATGAAAATGAATTTTTGTTCCTTGAAACATTTTTTTTTTTTTTACTAGAGCGCTGCCGATTGTGGTGCTTGATTGGTAGCTAATTTAGGCCATAAATGACCCTAGTTAGAGTTATGGTAAAATTTACAGGGTCTGCTTTGGAGTGAGAATCTTACAAGGCAAATACATTTTAGAGCCAGAAAACCATGAATTGTTGCAAGTATAAAGCATAACCAAATCTCAATTGGCATCTTATTGTTTTTCAAAGCAGATAAGTACCATTAGATTAAACCTAAAGTGGCTTGACGTTTTGTTTGAAACTTTATTTTATAAGCATATGCTTCTGGGCTGTAAAGTGCTTTCTATTGGTCTGACAAGCATCTGCAGTAGGAACATTGAACCCCAAAAATCTGGTTAGTCACATTTATTTAGTGATTTATCAAGGGGCACAATTGTGACTTCACTCGCTGTTTTTTATGATGCATAATGTATTTCATGGCTACAAATTCAAGTGTCAACATGTGATCATGGGTCTCCAGTTTCTGACAAGAAGCTTGTTAGCTCTGCATGATACCTCTTCTAAAATGAGCACAAAGTTTACAGCAGTGTCCTGTCAAACAAGAGGGGAGCAAACAAAAAAAAAAAAAAAATTGTATCAGTGTCAGAGAGGGTATGTTGTACAGCAGTTTGACAGCATCCCTCCCACAGAGTTGATGCTGACCCTCTGATGGCAGCAGCTGCTGTGATGGGAAACACCCACAGCTCCCAGAATATAAGCCTCTTTATTTTTGAGAAAAGTGATAAATGCAACCACTGGCTCCTGTTTTATTATAAAGCCAAGGTGAGTAGAAATAAAATGTTACCTCATGCATTGTCACCACACTTTCTAACTGAATTCATCTTAGAAATCCTAGGGTAAACTTTTTTTTTCTTTTTTTTATCTGAACAAAGCAGATAGCGATAAAAAAAAAAAAAAGATGAGCAGTGAACCAGCTGTGCTCATAAAATCTGATGCACTCGCTAACATTGCTGAGCACGTTTGGAGATTTCGATATTTTACCAACTCTTCTGTGTACGTGTTTGACCTCCAGCAGAGAGACAAGGTTTGTTTTTTTTACGAGCAAATGCGTGTTCTTCATGCTCAGACCCCATGCATGGTCCCTCCCAGCCTGGACGCAGCCTAGAGCCACGCCTCATTATGTGGTCGGAAAGACAGGTGCTGCCTTGCCTAAACCCGAGGCCCAGCCTCAACAGGATACGGATCCATAGAGGAAGTTAATCCTCTGCTGCGTCTCTGCGACTGGTGGCCAGGCAGCTACAGGAGGAAGCATATGTTGTGTGTTAAGAGCCACCTGGTGAGGGTGTGAATGGCAAGTCGGGTTAGGAAAAGGAAGAGGAGGAGGAAGACGAGGGAATGCCGAGGTGAAGGATCAGATGCTTAGGGTCATGTTACGGAGCAGCCACTGCTGGGAGCGGCTGCCGCTGCAGTCTCTCAGGGTGGGGACCATCTTGTCCTCCTCGGACGGCATGTCCAAGCACTGGTTGCTATTCACGTGGAGCAGCGTCAGTTGCTGAGAAGAGAGCAAACACAGGTGATTACCGCTGTGGCGGGACAATTTCCTTCCAATTGTAATTTTTATGAACTGTAAACACAAACCCATTTAGGTAGAAAAGGGTGAGAGGAATGCTTTTGAAAGTCAGAACACGCATTTCGGTTATAAAAACCGAGGCTCCTATAGGAGGAATCGATGGTTGCTTCCATTTAGCGTGAAAGGCAGAAAACCCAAACTACACCCGTGAAGTTTCTTTTCATATGGAATTTGTCACATTGCAAAACACAAAAGCTGAAGTATTTTATAGAGACTGAAAACTGCATTTCTATTCAGGCACCCTGGATTGTTGGTAGAACCAGGAATCAGTGCAATTTTAGATGCAAATCCTTTGCTACCAGCTTTGCTCATTCAGAGACTAAAACTTCTTAATATTCTTCTTTGCAAAAACAGCTCAAACTCAGTCAGATTGGATGGAGTGTGTTTGTGAATATCAATTTTGAGATCTTGCCACAGATTCTCAATTAGATGGTACATTTGCATAATGCTCTTTTCATCTGCAGAAATGGAATAGTCCACTGGATTTTATTTAAGAGAAAAAAAAGAAAAATGAATTGTAAAAAACCCACACTTGTAAGATTTTTAGTATTTTTAAAGTAAATACACATAATTTTCCTTCCACTGTATAATTATATACCACATTGTATACATCTATCACATAAAATCTCAAAGTAAATAATACAAACACACTGAAGATTATAGATGCAACATGATAAACATGTGAATAGGTTCAAGGGTGTATTGCCGTTACAATATCTAGTATTTAAATATCATTGGATTGGAGTTAATACATTTTTCGTATATTTATTTAACAATAGCAAAGCCAAATACAAACATATAAAAGCAATACCTTGTTCCAAAAAGTACAAATGAATAGGCTATGCCTGTGTATTTTGATAACACTGACCTCAAAACAAAAAGGAGAATACAGAGGCCACATCATGCATCACAGCCCAGCCGTGGCATCGTCTACGAAATAAATTGGCCTTGACACAAGTTGTTTCAGGATCTGTCAGATTGAGATCAGCTGACAATGACTGATTAACAGGTCTGCTTCATGAAAGACGTCTCTGGAAAATTAATGACGTCTGAATTCCATTAAGTAGCTTCTGGATTCGTGCGCGCCGGCTCCCTGTCACAGCTGTGATTTCACTGAGACGCCAGAATAGAACAGGGCCTTCCTTCATCAGTGTAATTATTGTGTTTCTCTCCTGCCGTTTGTCCCCCTCTCACCTGTCAGCCCCTGTCTCTCCGCTGCTCTGTCAAGTTAGCTGGAGAAGTCAGGCGACAGAACGAATGGGAAAAAAAAAAAAAAAAAAAGAAAAGAAAAAAAAAGGCCCCACCTGTTGTGAAGAGACGAACCCAACCACCGCATCGATGCGTACCACAGGAGAAAAGCTATCTACCGTGACGGCAGCAGAGGCAACTCCCCCAACACCCAAGAACAGCAGGAGAGCTCTCAGTGGTTCCAAATTAACCATTCATGTTCATGCGCTCATATGGATGATGAGTTCACAACCGTACTTCTTTCTAGGGTTGCCTTTCTTGCCCTATAATTACACACGTAGGATAAAAGGACCACATTTGTTTTTAAAAACACTTTTTTAGAGTAAAATGTCTTACAAACCAATGAGTAGCTTTGTCCTGTCGTTGGAAAGTCAACTCCAGTTTCTCTTTAAGAACTATAATAATAAGCTACAGGAATTACATTTAAAAGAATTTCAAGCCAGTTCCTGCTTTGGAACAGAGGTGTGAGACAGTAGTTTCAGGGTCTTACTATTACTTTAGAACACATTTTTAGTGTCACATTAGAAATCAGAGGTCTCAAATGGTAATTTCTGAAGAATGTAAATCTCTCCTTAACTTTGGGCTTTTCAAAAGGCTGCCCACATTTGGTCTAAAACCGATGGAGGCAGAAAAGGATAAAACAGACTCACTTTGCTGTAATCTGTTCATCCATCCTGTTATCTAATGAAAGCCTTACTCTCTCCCTGACACATCTTGCCATGTAGTAGAAAGTTTTGTTTAAATGTGTTTCCTTGACTTTATTTTTTAAACACCACTTTGAAACTAAGCAGCTTTACATCTTCTTCACGTGCAGTAAAGTCTAGACTAAAAGTGTCGTTTTCAATGTGACCCAGTAGATCTCAGAGCAGGTTCACTGGTGTATAAAAGATTGGACCTTTGAGTTTTCAGCCAGTCGGTCAGGTGTCAGAGCTCATTAAGCTGAAAATATTTGGTCACCTGCAGATTTCTCGGCACATCGCTTTCAGTGACTCAAATCGAGCAATTTCATACCAGCAAGGTGCCGCAGAATGAGTTCAGAGGAAGATCACAATTTATACAGCGAGAGTTTGTTTTAGATTCCAACCTCTATATATCAACCAACAAGCATTGTTTAGAAATTAAAACCCACATTCACTGGGAAACCTCCAGTGAATGTGGGGTTTTGTTTATCATTGCGGAAATACACAAAAAGGTCTCCATTATGCTGCCAAGGATCTTTTCCCCCCTGACCCTTCAATCGCCACTGGGCTGCTCATGTTGTTTCAACTAACAACTATTCTAACAAAAATATTTTCTTAGCAATAACACCATAAAGGTAATTTATAGCATTTTTATTTTACACCTTATTTGATGTCACTCCAATATCTGTACTGAATTTTAAATGGATCACAGTTGAAGATTTCTGGGATTACAATGTGGTGTTCTAATACCATAACTTCTCATTTTTGTTTTTTGTTTTCTTCTTTTTTTTTACGCATAAATGTAAAACACAGTCACCTATTCCTGAAATGTAAAAGTTAAAAATGTAATTCCATGTTATTCGTTACTTGTATATTTTGAAATGTAAAAAAATAAAAAATAAAAAAAAAAATCTATAAATGTTTAGGATCATATTAAAAAATATAACTTATTTTTAATTGCATCTTAATTCTACTAGAAAACAATACTTTTTCAAAATTGGACGATTGTTATGTTGGTTTTTACAGAAAAAGTTTGTGATTGGTGCATCTCCAGTTAATTGTAAAATATGTATCTCCACTTTATCTCCAGTTAATTGCTGGAGATGTACCAGCATCTAATTTGTTTGTAACGAAGGTTTACGAAACCTATATTACAAAGGCACACAGTTCTGTATTGTAATATAATTTATGGGTATCTTTCAAAGCAAGACTGCAATAGCGAAGCGGATATAACCCGCAGCTTTACAGTAAGCACAGCCTTATCTTGGGAGTCGTTCTTCACGAATATGAGGTAAAATTCATGTGAGGAACTATAATATTCAGTCTGTGATTGCCACAGTGTTTTTTTTATCCTACATTGGAGGCACACTGTAATTGTTCATTAAAACAAGATTGTGCTTTGGCCATTGACGGAGGATCTCCAGACTAATGAGCTCGCAGAGACGCTCGGGCCATGTTTGATCTTAAGCTATAAAAACACAAGGACCAGTATTTCTCTGCCCAGATATGAGGATGTGCACGCACACACACACACACACACACACACACACGTATTCTTCCTGAAGTACACGTTGCAGACTGCCCAACAAGGCTTATTTGTTCAAACAGAGTGAGAACAAAGAGCAGGTGGCACACGATCCCTCGCACCTGCCAAAAAGACTGGAGAAAAGAACAAAGAGGTTGCTTTATTTAGAAAAAGGGAAAAAAATGATAAGAAGAATGATATAATCCTGACATAAAAAAAAAACTGTTTTTCTGTATCATTTGAAAATGATGAGCAGTAGTATCAATAAAAAGACTTTACGCTATCAAAACGCCACAATATTTCAGCTGAAGTCTGGCTCATGAAGCACCATCCGGTTGCCGTCACGGATGTAGCCTCGTCTGGCAAAATGCATCCATGCTATTATTATTAGATCTGGATATAACAGCGAGTTCTTTAAAAAGAAAAAAAAAAAAAAAAAGCATATTCTCAATATAAAGGGTGTCAAAATTAAAGTTTAAAAGAACGCATTTCTTTAGCTACCCACTTGTGTTGACAGAGTAGGCTAATAAAGACATCATCCAGATGCAAAGCCTGTTCAGTCTGTACATTAATTTTAAAGTTACAGTTTGGTTTCAACGTCCCACCCTTTAATTTAGAGACAAATAGAAGATGGATTGATTACACAACAACAAATCCCCACGAAAAAGCTCAGTGTTTTAACAAGACCGTGTGTGTGTGTGTGTGTGTGTGTGTGTGTGTGTGTGTGCGTGTGTGTGTGACCTCAGTATATTTTCATACACAAAACAACTTATTATCATTTGGCTGTTTGGCCGATACCTCTAATATCTAAGAGTTTTACATTTGCTCTGCTCTGCATACTTTATTGGCTATTTAACCCTATAGTTATCCTAGGAACCTTCAAGAAGTCAAGCATAGCATACACATTTTACTAATTATTGTGTTTTTTTTTTTGCGCAATCCACGATATCACAAAGCTGCCTAAATAGAACAAAAAGAGCAGATTCATAAATCATTAGCAGTCTGGCCATGGAGAGAACCCCTGCAGCTGGTAGGGCTTGCTGCAAGTGAACTGCAATAACATAAGGAAATGTTGCAAAATGTTTTGCAAGTATTTTGTTGTAACATAATTGAAACCTCACTAAGCTCTGGAAGGTCATTATAAGCTTGAAGTTGATCATATTTTAATGCTGGACCAAAACTTATTCGCTATATCACAATCATTAATGATCTTTGCTGGAGGAAGAAGACGCATCAGGCTGACTTGTTATTGAGAGATTTTTCTTTTCATTTAAAAATTCCAAGTTGTCAAGAGAGGAGTAATACAATGGAGGGCAGGGAAAATGTACCTTAAATGAAATTAGCAGAAATGTGGAAGTCCAGTTCTTTGCTCATAATTATTTCATGCCAGCTTTAGGGCAGAGAAAACTCCCATCCTAACCTCTCAGCAAATGAAGCAGGGCCTCTGGAGCAAGTTACAGACCGTTTGCGCAGCTGAGACCAGCTAATTAAATGAAGACTGCTTCGAACCGTCCTTCCTGTCACCAGGCAGCACACTACACTTGCATCGAGGCATAAGAGTCACCATTTTGACTGTGGAGTCTTATTTTCCTTTTTTCCTTTTCTTTCTTTTCAGGCGCTTTCCTTTTATTTCAAGGCAGAGTGAAGCAATAGTTTCGTTTGCTTTAATGATGACTCGGTCTTGCATCCGTGCTTCCTTCTTCTTAGGGCAATGTCAGGGGGAACTCAGAGCGCGACCAGCAAATCAGGCCATCTAACAGCACGTCACTTTGCTGCCATGACTCCGACACACACCACAAGTTCTGGGAGCTCCTCGCTCAATTTACGGAGCTGGGACACAAAAACCGTGGCATTCTACATGCTCTTTAGCTGTGTTGAGAGTCACCGAGGTTCAGGACTCTGAAGTGCAAACTTGAGATAAGTCTGCAGAGCAGAATAGGCTATAGAGAAAATGACAGGCGCAAAGGCGGGAAAATAACAACCCTGAAATGAAAAGAAAAGCGGAGCAAAAGAACATCTCTTACAGAGCTATGTAAATAAGTAGGCAGAGTGGTGAAAAGCCCCGATGATTGGGATTCATTGCTTTAACAATCTGAACATGGCACACCGTGTGCACAGCTGCTTCAGGCCAATAAGAGAGCCATCTGAGTGTCCAGAGCCATGAAAAGGTAGCTCCACAATGAAGGATCACTTCAAAGAACTTGTAAACAATAGCTGACCCATTTCAATCATGTGTGCTGGTAGATAATCAGCTAAAAATAAACACGTCCTCCTCCGTTTCAAACATCACTCACCAGGCGTGGGCAGACCAGGACACAGCCAGTGAATATTCACATCAAAATAAAACATTCATGTTGGAAAATAAATGTCAAATGAGATCTAATTTAGCATGAAGTCTAGCTAAAGGTCCTGCAGATAAGATCTTATACACTGAAGCATCTTGAAGGGACATCTGTCACTGCTTAATGTGCTTCTGCCCCGTCTTCATGGATTCCCTCTAAAAGGTCACCAGTAAAAGCTTTTTAATGCTCCATAGAACAATCTGCATCCACATTCTAAGACCTGAAAGAAGCACAACATGCTCCGAATCCATCTGCTCTTCCTGCAAAAGGAAAATAAAATATCTAAAGTGACAATCTGCTCTGGAGGCAACTACCGACTAAACAATCTAACCGATCTAAACTGCATTGCTAAACTAGATTGCAACAGCTAACATGTGCTCACCTCATGCCCCCCAAAACGCTGCCCCAAAGAGCAGATGTTAGTTTAGAGAATATAATCGGTGGGACTGAAGTAAAGGTGCCTAGCGACCTCCAGGCGGGTGTAGTTGTGGAGGATCCACGCCTGCAAAGGGCTGTTGTTACAGTACTCCACAGTGGGGCCGTAGGTGCCGTCCTCCAGGCGGCTGATGGTCAGGCATGACTGGGTGATGATGTGAAGGAAGGTGTGTTTCTGCACGGATCCAGGAAGGAAGAGGAACACATGGTCGTGAAGGCAAGTAAAATAATTATTTATATCCTCTAACTAGGGTGTCAGGTTGTCAGCAAAAACAAACAAAGCTAAAGAGAATCATAACTGGAAGAAATTGTCTGAACCAAACTTTGACACTACGTACCATTTAATAGTCGCAGTTGAGGAAAAACATGTTTGTTTACCGCAGTCTCAGGCTTCAGGTGTATTTAAAGGCATTGAGTTAAATGCCAATTTTTTACAAAATTTGATAAGCGGGTGTGGCCACCATAATCTTTAGCTTTCTCTACTTTTTCAGATTTAAGTCAGAACTATGTCTTGGCTGCTCCAATGAGTTAATATTACTTCCTCTTAGAATAAACATAGTGGTAAATTGAGAAGATAACTTTCAACTTAAATCTACTAGGAATAATTTGGATTCATCTGGAAGGTACACATATTTACCTATTGTGAACTTTTATTTTCGTATAAAACTTTGTGAAACCATGACGACATTGTGAAATCTTGGTATTTTTGTAAAAACTGATCATATTATTATAAATCTCATATCGATTTATGCCTAAAAAGTAGAGAGGGTCTCAGATGATTACATTTTAGATAGGCTGCTTATATTTAAACATCGAATATAATGTGTATTTAATACAATTCAGTTTGCATTTCTCCTTCACAAAATTTCAAACAAGCATAATGTAAATGTCATTCATGAAATGTTAACAGGATTTTGAAATGTTAGCGGCGCATCTTGAAAAAATTACAACAGCTTACTTTTTTTGACAACGCATAACAGCATTTAAAATTAAAAGAGGCTGCAAATTAGCAACATTACAACAGGAATATGAAAACTTAAATGTGTTCAAGCGAAACTGATGACCAGCTGGATTTTTCCACGTTTCTCTAGTGACCCAGGATTCAGACGTTGTCAGTCACACCTGCGCTAAAAATAACCTTGACCCCAATAGTCGTGAAAACCCAACGCTGTTTACCGGTCTGGTCTGCTTCATTCATTATTTATTCACTTTTTTTTTTTTTTTCCAACTTTCCGAAAGCGCCCTGAGAACAAAGCGTAATTAAAGAATTTCCCCTGGGGGTTTTGCTCGGCGCTTGATGGGAACAGCCTGTGGGCTTCTTCGCCTCGCCATATCGAAACATCAGCAATGTGACAACTCAATCACTCACAGATTACACTGCAGGACTTTTCAAGCATCTCTCCGGAGATTTGAAAAATTCATAAATAGTTAAAACACAAATACTTTTCCAGTTCCATAAGCCCTAATGTGTTTTGACCAGTGAGGCAATCAAGTCTTAAGACGGCTTAGGGAAGAGTATTTGTACTTCTCCCAGGAGCATAAAATGTCGTGTTGTGTCTTGTACACAACATCTGCTTCTTCATTTGGATGAATATTAAAGTTTCAATTTGCACAAACAGAAGTGTAAGGTAAAATGAAACCTTCGTGTTTAATATTCAGAATAAACCAATGTCATTAATCTTACTTTGGTTTCCTCTTTTGCTCTGTAGAGCAGCAGATCAGTAAATTATGACATATGTGTGGATTTGTTTCGTATAAATTCAATGTTTTGCATAAATTTAGCAAATGTGTCTTATGACAAAACAAAAATGCACACAGGAGCAAGTGCTTACAAAGCATTGTATGTATATTAATTATAATTTTTGATTACCAAGAGGTTCTCTTGGCTTCTTAGAAAGGATATTTGCTACAAAAATGTATTTGTATAAATTTGTCTTATTTTATCTGTAATCACTGAAATTATAAAAATATCACATTAAAAGGAAATTAATAAAGCTGTAAAATTCAGTGACATTTTCCACCACATTTTTTTCAAGCTAAGAAAAAAAGCTTGAAAATTTCACAAAGATTTACGTATTCTAACCTAAGAACCACAGATTCTTCAAACTCGCTAGAGGATGCCACTGCACTCAGAGCACAGGACATAAGCTATAGGGAGATTAAGGCAGGAGAACTTTGACAGCTTACCTCAAAATCATACTCCCACTTGCCAACATACTATATGAAATGAGAGAAGATGAGAAGAGACACAGCTGCTGGAAGGAAATAGCACCTGGACACTGAGCTGCTTAAAAAAAATAAAAACCTACAAAAACACACAACACCATCTAGTGGCAGAGAAGAGGCATCACATTTTCCAATTTCCTGCCATGTAAATCCTATTTTAGTAAACCGCTGCTTTCGATTTGACGACATAATCCTCAGAGGGCAAAACGGACCACATCCCACTGCCTCGATTTGGACTCTGGTTCCTGCAGGAAACTCAGATCCTACCTCGGCATCGTACTCAAACATCTGGTTGCCCTTCATGTGGTGACACTTGAGCATCTTGACGGGCCCGTTGAGCCTGGAGACATCCAAACAGAGGTCATCCGTCCGGATTTCTTTATCCGCTGTGTAGGAAAAGACCTGGGGAATGCAACACAAAGATGAATAAAAACACAATGAATCCATTCCAAAGGTGTACAATACTTTTTTTTCTCTGTACTTTCGACAAAAGTACAGAGAGCATTTTCAATTTTTTAAGCTGCATGTTTGAGCATAAGTATCCAATAAAGATTATAATTCAAGATCTTACCGGATAAGCTAAATACTGGACTCAAAAAGGGACTAGTGTACTTCTTATCACAGATCAAATCATACAGAAAAAAAAACAAAAAAGCAAAAGGTTAAAACGCTTCTTCTCAATGGACAAGGTCCCAAATATAATGGCTGATTAGTTACCAATTAGAGATAATTAAGTCGATGTTTTGGAGTTTTCATCACCAAGACTTGATCTTGGTGGGACAAAAAAATTCAAGGCAGAACTGCAGGTCGGCCTGCAAACCTGGTTCGGCAGGATTGGGACAACATTTTAGCAAACTATCATGAAAAAGTTGCATAAAAATACTTAATTGTTTACAAAGGCAGTTCTCCTATAAAACTACAAAATGCATCTAATCTTCTGGCTTTATTTAAAGTTTAAATAAATAACATTGCCTGCAGATATAATAATTAGATGAAAGAGCCTCCTGTGAGAAACTTAATTTCTTTTCTCAATATTCTGCACATTTGTTTCTCCAAACATATATTTACTGATTACAGTTAAGTGGCTTTATTTTAACTCCACTGGTGGCTTCTTTCTAACATACAGCTGACTTGTCAGAGCAGACGTTTACATTTTGTTGGTATTTGTATAGGCTGAAAAGCTAAAGATGCTCTCCAATTCCAGGTTTTTCAATCATTTTCCAGCAGACAACTGTTATTAATCACCTTATGCACTGAGAAAACACCAATAGTTTTGCAATAGCTCATTCTTTTTTAGCACTTTGCTGCTTTGTGGACAGTTGGGGATCTGGTAGGTGATCAAAGGCATGTTTACTACCCATTCAAAAAAACGCTTACAATTTAAACATGAAAAGCTGATAAAAATATAAAACTTTATACAAGTTATCAAAGGGGTGTCCTTTTTTCTGTACAATCTATACATTTTATGCTTAAAAGAGAGAAAAATACCTGGTTTCCACCCATGCCATGACAGTTGAAAAAGCCAACTTTCTCGTTCTCCTTTCTTCCCATGTTGTCCACACACTGGTTGGTCTCCACATTCCTGATCTGCAGGCAGGTACAGACAGACCAATAATTTTACTATTCAAAGCATGTACTTTTCGAAACGGTTATACTGAAATCCATATCGTCTTGTAAATGGTCAGTTGTGTATTTCTAAGCTGCTAAAGCCAGATCACATAAAGGTCACAGGTCTGAATATATTTTCCTGTTAGGAAACCCAAGATGGATTGATGATGGCGGCAGTGACGGAAACCACTGCAGCTAGTTTTAACTGGTATCCATCAATGGCTTTTATCAAACAGGAAAGTTATCCAGCTTGCTGTTTTTTAATGTTTTTACCAAGCCATCTCGACAATATGACATGATTTTTGTTTGTTTGTTTGTTTTTACAGAAATACAATAATTATGAGTTTATCACCATGCCCTTGTGTTGAAACATAAAAGAATTATAAATGGTACACTGACACATTTAGTCAAACTCAAAAATGTGGCTCTAAAGGTGAATTTGCCTCCTTGCCAGTTCATATCCTTACTTCATATCTAGTCACTGTAATTTTCCCCTCCCTACTTTCCACTGATAAGGACCGACTGACTCAAAATTATTCATACTCCTGGCAGAAGCCTGCAGTTTTTTCATGACACATTTTACATCCTTCTTTTATTTTCAGTCAGTGCAAGTAAATGGCAAAATATTTCAATGTGTAAATTTTCAGATTTTTACCAGGTTTTAAAATTATTTAAATCTGACCTCAACTGTAAGAAAGCCAGTCCACACATTTCACTATGTACGCATGTAACATGTACACAAAATTTGAAAAATAAATTATGACAGGTCTTTCTTCTAAACACGAGCTTGAGTCCAACTTCAACCAATATGGGAACTAACTATAACAACTCACATATTGACCCATATATATTATCAAGGCTTGTTGCAGCTTCCATTTACCGCAGGATTTTCTTAAAATCATTGTGATGAAGACGAAGCATACACTATATTCTAAGCTTAACACGCACAACTAAAACATCACAATTAAGAAATATAAAACCCAACACTTTACAGCTTTTACAGAACGGCTGACAGTGTGTTATAGTAATTGGGACTCAGTCAGAAGAAGTCTGGCTCGGAGGGAAAGGGACGGGGAGAGGTGACAGAAGAAGATTCAGCTCTTTTACAACAGGGTGACAGAGCAGTAATGATGAAAATACTCCCGTCCCCAGCTGATTTTCAAGTTCTTTTCACCACAAGTTCTTATACTGACACTACTTTTTAAATAGCCATTTACCCCGAGGGAGACATGGCTCATGACAGTTCTGCCTCTAACCAAAGCTGCGCTGGAGCAGACATTGCATAAAAAGGCAAATCCGGTTAGTTAAAAAAAAATACTTTCATCTCGAGTTAGCAGGAGCTCGAACTTATATCATCTTGCTAATGCGATGGTCACATTCTTGCTGCAGACTCCTGCAGCCTGCTTTCTTTGCAAAAAATAAAAAATAAACATAATAACATATATTGTTTATTTAGACATGTAGGAACTTTGAAATTTTGTGAAATATATTTTTACTCACCAAGTAGAGATCAGATCAATTGATACATAAGCTTTACCCCACTCCCTCTGTACACATAATAACTCTGTAAATGTCTCAGATCAATATTGCCTGTGTGAGCATCCAAGCGGGACTTTGTTATAAGTATTCAATACAACAGACTGAGTATGGCTGCTTCTATCTCATTTTCTCCAGCCTTTCTCGGGTCCATAGAGCTTTGCATTTATCTCTCTGTAATATTGTATTTCTGAAAGCACAGATATGCATGGCATGGTCCCAATCAATCATAAAACAACCTAAATTTCAATTCAAAATGTGAAACTCGTGTTTTATATATGATTTTTATTACACAAGCGTGAGCAGTTCGAGAAAACTGTATGACGCAAAACCACTAAAAAATGATTTATAAGGAACACAGAGATCTTATTTTATGACCTGCAGAGGACCGGTGACTTGAAATTTGTCCTGCAGATAGTCAACTGACACCCTGTGAAGAAAAGCGAGCCACGAAAGGTCACTGCTAAAGAAGATGGCTGAGTAATGTAACTTTGTATACTAATGGAAAGCGTACAGGAAGGGAAAAAATATGGTAAGACAAAGTGCTCAAGCAACAGAGAAGTCTTGAGAGGAGTGCAAAGAAAAGCCTGATCAAAAAGTTAATTTATGTCAGTAATTAAAATGTGAAACTAATACACTGTTTTGATTATTATGACTTACAACAACAAAAAAAAAAAAAAAAAAAAAAAAAAAAAAAAAAAAGATTTATATATATATATATATTAGAAAATTACACTTTTAGAAGATATTCTTATGTCTTGAGAAGCTCCTGTATCGGGCAAATGGTAGGACAAAAAAAACAAAACAAAAAACAAAATTAATGTACAAGAGCGCTCATACTTCACCAAGTGAGAAGTATCTTCTTGGGATCTGGGAGTCAGGGTAGATGTTCTCTAGATACCAGGAAAATGGTTTACACTTCAAGGCCTCTCGGAGAGTTTTGCGGGAGGAAACGTCTCCGTAGTCCACCCGCATCACACCTGCAGGAGTCAACGGAGGAGTTAATCACATTTATCGGAGAGTGTCATCAGGCTGATTTCAGATTTTCCCGTTCTGAAACAACTGCTCTGTTTTTTTGCATCACCATGAAGAAACACCAGAGGGCCTTTTTCCTCACCAACATGCCACACAGCTCTGCATAAAAAATTGTGCCACGATGTTAATCAGGGAGGGATTTTCTCTTAAGTTATACATAATTAACCTGGCCTCTTGAGTCCATTTTGCACATACCAAACAGCAGCACTGTTTAGGTTAATGCTGCTCTTAGAAACGAGCATCATGCTGCCAAATAAAAACAGCCTGATGCATCAGCACTGTTGAAACCGAAAAGAAGGGACGGATTAGACAGCAACTGGGCACAGACACAAGCTCATCAAGCAGATGGTTAGTCTTGGAGTGCCTCTCGAGGAGTCATAGCTCGCGTGCAGATAGATGCAGGGTGGTAATTTATTATGAAAGAGCTTGATTGCAATGAGGAGAAAATAGCACAATTTACAAAAACCTGTCAAAATGTGTGACCAACAGCAGTGCGCGGCAAAAACCAGTCGAACAGCAACTGAACAAAAGGGCATACACCTTCAAATACCAACACACGCTTACCATTTAACAGAAGAAATATTTACAGTGTTTAACAAAAGTATTCAGACCCTTAGAAGTTGTGTCACATTACAACCACAAGCCAAAATATTTTATTCATAAGGTATGGAAGCTGCGAAGAGGCCCACAGCACCTCTGGAGGGGCTGCAGATATCCACAGCTCAGGTGAGAGAATCTGTTGACAGGATAGCTGTTATGCTGCACAGATTTGGCCTTGGGAGAAGAGTGGCGAGAAGTAAAGCCACAGTTGAAATTAAGTCCTACAAAGTTAACTTAAAATTTGCAAAACGACAAATAGGGGACAATGCAAACATGTAAAAGTAGATTCTGCGGTCAGATGAGTGGAATCTAGTTCAAAATCTGAGGCAAGACTTGAAATTGTGATCACTACTCCAATTTCAATTGGTTGGACTAGTTTAATTTATTGTTGTCAGAATAAAGGGAGTTAAATACAAATGCACACCATTCCATTTTTTTTTTAATTTGGAAAAACATGCATCTTTTTCCTTCTACTTAGTCACACAGTGTATGATTTTTTGGTTTATCACATAAAATCCAATTGCAAGTGTGTGCAACACAGCGAAAGCCAAACATTTGCGGGTTGTGACTACTTTTGCAAAGGACAGTAGGAGGCAGATAATATCTTGGAGAACCAGAAGCTTCTTTGATCCTAAAACACTCTGCTAAGAAGGAAAAAAGGAGGCAATTACACTTTTATTAGGAAGGCTATAGGGCTCTCCAAAAATGAGGCAACACGGCGTGCTCCTCTGTGCCAATAAGTGAGCGCTGGCAGCAGCAGCACAGCTCAGATCATCCTCAATAATGTCCAGGAGGAACAGAGAGGCATTGCTGGGCCACAGCGCACAGCAAAAGCCATCCATCACAATGCTGGCTCTGTCTGCACACCTGCCCGTGGAGAGTCCTGCCTGACCGAGCCGCGAAGAAGGTCACAATTTGTGGAGGAAGATCTACAGATTAAGGATGATCCCTTATAGGTTGGCAAGCCATCTAGAACACTTAGCCAGAGATTTCCGGAAAAGTGATTTCTGCTAAAGGGTAATCACATTACTGAGACAACAGATGGAGGGGTACTCATCTCTCAAGCTGCACAGCCCTGTTGCTCTAGTTTTTCCATATGCGCCGCAGCCCCATTGGAGGAAGGACCGGTTTTGACAAATTTCTGAACTTGAGTTCACGAGAGCGCTTAAAGCACGTCTGAAGGCAAAACTGAATTAGCCTTCTCTGAAGATGACACAGCAGCCTCACATTCCAGCATATGAGCAGAGAAATGTGAATTATTCAATGGATGAAAAGAAAAGGACTCTGTAAGAGAATAAAATAATAAAATAGACCAGACACCATCCTTTCAGAGCAATTTGCTAAATGTAATATCAGCAAGCCCAGAATGGACGGGTAATGAGGACTGTCCGTATCAGCTTTTAAAGAGGAATGTACGCTGAATAAAATATAAAGCAAATCCCTGACTATTCTATAAATTCCTAAAACCTTAACACGTCATTTTTAAACTGTCTGAGACGTGCTCTTGTTTATAAAAGTGGGGGGGGGAAACAAAAAAGAAAAACATGTAGTCGCAAAGCAACTATTGCTTTGCTCTGTACCTGGTGAGATGATGTAAAAGAAGTCTTTGAATTCGTCCATCCAGACTTCAGCCAGCCGTCGGTTGTTCTTGTTGATAACTTGGCCCGTTCCTCCAGGAAAGCTGTACGGAGTGGCTTTGCGGAAAACATGCCCCACATGTGAGCATGTTATAATTTCCAAGGATCCGCCACACTGCCAGATCTGAGAAGACAGGGATTTATATAAATGAAAAAAATGAGTTTGTAGAAACAGTAGTCTCTGCACTGAGGTGAAGATTTATTAAATAAACAAAAATTAAATGCATCGATTATGGCAGTAGCGAGATTTCACAATGAATTTTTTTTTTAGAAATATCCAACTTTTGCCTAGAGTACATTTATTAAATGGTGAAAAATGAAAAGATAAAAATGATGATTGTTCTCGCTACATCACCGGTGTCCCAACAATTCCTGGAAAAGAAATGGAACCGTAGGGGAGTCACGTTTATTTGCAGATGATCCTTCTCAAAGTAATTCAAAGTGGCCCACAAGAAAATAAAGAAAATTCAGTAAAGATTAAAAAAAAAAAACCAGGAAATATTGCATAAATTTAGCATCACATTCAAAGAAAGAAACACTAAAATCTGAAATTTAAACAAGTAAGTAGCCAAGACAAGACGACATTTTTGGCGTCTATGGGGAAGATACAGAAACAAAGTTTTCACTTCCGACTTAAACTGAATATTTTAGCATTTCATGGGAATTACTCCAATGCTGAAGATGATAAAAACTACATGTGGAGGGATAAATGTGATAACATTAGGGTAAAACTTAACTTGACATTAGTCAAAATAGGCAAGACAAGAGACCATAGCATTGTAGCCAAAAGCCCAATTAGGGACAGACATTGCAAATTAGCTTATACTATAATTGTTCAGTATTTCTTAATACCAAACCCTAAATTTGTTACAGACCTAAAGTTGACAACCTGAAAGTTCAGTTTGATGTTACCACATAAAATTATAGCTGGAAAATGTTTATTTTACCAAAGAATTAAGGTTACATTGGTTTACATTGAGGCTATGAACGGGAGTTACAGCTTCACAATATGACCTATTTTTATATCGCTGGTTCAATATTCCCAAGCAGCAGGAAGGAAGTCGGAGGGGAAAAGTAGAGCAACAAACAGCTGCCTATAGGCAGATTATGCTGCAACAGCTCAGATGATTGCAGAGGAGAAACTTAAGCAGCCTTCATTACTTTTTAATGCCCCATTTTTAATGCATCAGCTACAAAACAAACTTTACATTAAACACTGGAATTTGTCTACGAAAGAAAGGCAGTGGTCGTTAGAAGTGAAACGGTTTCAGTTTGGAGGTTTAAAAAGAAAATGTCCAGAGTAGACATAGAGATATGGAAGCTTTGTGTAAAGAATAACTAAATAATCAAGAATTGTTTTGCTTTTGTCCTTATTTCTCAAGGTGTTCTGGGGGTTGTTCAGGAAAAGCACATCGTAATGATTTTTTTTTTTTCAAAAACTTTCTGGCATTATTTATGCTTTAATGTCTTAAAATATCATGACATAGAATTTCTTTAAGAAAATTCAACTGTAACACTCACTGAACTTAGATTTCTTACTCAGAAAAGTCAAACAAAACCTTATAGTCAAAAGTCCAACACAGTTTGATAGGATCTGATTTTAGGGAACAAAATCGGATGTTTACATATCTGAGCTGGCCGCCAGTGATCAAAGTCGGTTAAGGAAAATGTGGCTAATTTCAATCACAGGTTGAGTGATTTGTGTATCTCTAATGAGTGGGGGGGAAAAATCCCACCTGAAGAAATAATAAGTGTTTTTAGAGAAATCATTGATGCTACAATTATTCTCACCCCAAACTACTCTTTAATATATCTAACTAAAGTTGTTTTTAATGTATAATGTAGAAAGTTTGAATTAGTATTAATGACTTTGCTTACAAGCATGGCGATCCACTTCTCTTAGTCACTCCTCAAAATGGGAAGGACAATAAGGCATAACATTAGAAAAGCAGATGTGTGTTGGTCTTAGCAATGACTACAAGAAAAGGGCTACTCACCTAAAGCTGTCCATGCAATTAAAGCAACATCATAAACATTTAAAACAACTGGAAGTATGTTCATCTTGCCTTACAGAGAGGAGCAAGGTGTGTGAGGTAACTATGTTTCCATGACAACAATTTCCCTCCCATTTTGTACATATCTGTACCAGTGGAGCCAATAAATGACGAGAGCATGATACATCTCCTGTATTATGAGGGATGTATGATATAATCTAGTGCTGACAGTGTTTGTGTAACCTTTCTGACTATGAGAGGGAGAGATGACGGTTCTGCTCACCTCTCCCATGCATTTTAAATCAAATATGCATGCAGGTAGGAGAACTTGCATGTATCCCCTGCCGTCAAGCAAGTCTGGTAGGATGATAACATTGTGTTCTCCGACACTCACCCTAAAAGACATTTCCAGGTTTTCTCCACCCCATATATCCATCCCCGGATCGTAGCTTCCAATTTCTTCAAAATATGTTTTGTCTATGGAGAATAGCCCTCCTGCCATCGTGGGAGTCCTGCACAAGTCACACAAAAAAATTACTGCCAAAAAAAATAAACAAGGTATTTGCTGAAGTCTAGCTGGATTATTTAGTAAATAAAAATAAGAGCAATGCAGATTATATAAAGACAGATTATTTATCCTTAGGTTAAATTAGAATTATTTTTTCTTTCTTTGATAAAAATTAGTATTCAATCCAAATCAGAGCATATGGATGAAAAGAGGCTAAATAGAGGTATTTATTTGTTGAAGAGGCACCATAAAGCAGAGATGGGTTGAAAGAAATAATTTCTGATAAATGTGCTAATGTTTTATATATATATATATATATATATATATATATATATATATATAAAAAGATGTTTCGAGCTTGGTATGGAGCTTTGCAGTCATGTAATTCAAAGTATCCTGTTGTAGCACAGTGAGGCATTGAAGAAACAATACAGACTCATTTGTTTTGAAAAATTAAAACAAAACCTTAGAAGAATAACCATGTCTATCCTCTGTGAATAATAATTTGTTGGTGGGAATAAATAAAGTGAATAGAGATGAGAAGTTGTGCTCTTTTTCCTATCAAAACGGGATATATGACTGAGTTTAATTCATTCCTATTTAAGCTGCGAAAATAATTCACTGAATATGTTCTTGACTCCAACTGTGGACGCGGCGGATGCATCTTCTTCTGTACCTGACTGGAAGTGTTCGGTCTCCTTTACGTCGATCCATCTCCCGCTGAGGAACTGGGTACCATCGGAAGTTCAGCTTCCAGTTGAAGCCCCCATAAGTCATATCCGAACCCGCCATGTACTCAAACGTCTCATCGCTGATGACATCTATGATAGGGCACACCACTGCTCTTCTGAAAGACACAATTTGATAATTAACTGCAACAAAATGACAACAAATGATGAATAAACAAACATTTTATTTTAAATTTATGACTTTAACAGACTAAAGTCTCATTGAGTTTTCTTGGACTGTCCTCTTTCCTCACAAATGTACAAATTCGTAAATTCAGAGGTCAACATTGTCAATGAAGAAAATTTGCACTTATTGTGAATTTTTAGCAGCACCGCTTAATTTATGCAATGTTTTAATAATACAGTAGTTGGAGTCATATAATGGCATTTTCAAAAAGCCTTGGACAATATCAGGAAATGCTTTATAGACACATCTATAAGATTAATTCATACTAAATATACATTTTAAGATGATGTATCTCTAGACAGGTAGAGAGGGAAAAAACACCTGACGCATTGTACAGTTTGTAATTTCTGGTTTGTAGTGTTTCCCATAAATAAAAGACGTTCTGTGAGTACTAAAATATATCTGTCTGCACTTTACCTGAGCTTTATTAATTTTTCAAATAATTTATTTTCATTATTATCTTAATTGGTCAGAATTGTTGCAATTGTTAAACTTTTTTATGTGTTTTTTTTTTTTTTTTGACTATTGTTACTCTGGCTCTTATGTTTCTTGTTCTTCCTCATTCTTGTTAGAGGCCAATGCATTAATCCACTATACATCAAACAGAGATTTATATTTATTTTCCGTTTTCCTTTAAGGATCAGCCTTGTTGAAGACGAAATAAACTCCCAGATTCAGGTAGATTTTATTAATGTGGGATATTTTAGAGATTTTCTATCACATAGAATCAGTTGCTAGCTTTAGCCTCCAGGACTAAATCATTTTGCAAAACACAGACACCAAAAGAGTTATCTACTGCAGGTAAGATGTTTTCTGCTTACAAGTTCCCTTCAAAAATCTTCAACTTGCAGCTGGCTTAGCAGGGTTATAGAATGAACTGGTGAGTTAACAGCAGTATTAACAAAAAGTGTTTCTGGCGTCAACATGAAGGTTAAATTGGCTAACAGTCTCTGCTGCACAGTGACGTCCCACCCTTATAAAGCACTTTTTAATCTCTCTCTCTGTCAGAAATCCTCATCTTGGCTCCTACCGGTCCTCTCTGATGCGAGCCAGCAGGGGCTCCAGCCAGCCCACCGTACACTCGCAGTGAGCGTCAAGGAAGGTGATGACTTGGCCTGTGGTTACGGCTGCCCCCCTGAGCCGGGCTCTGATCAGACCCGACCGCTGCTCCATCCTCAGAATCTTCACAGGCACCTCTAATGTCCGCACATAATCCTCCAGCTTTGCCCTTAAGAAGTCTGAAACAAAAACGGAGGAAATCAGCTGAAGAGCAATTCAACCAGAGCTGAAGTAAAGTAATTACATTAGAAGATTAGTCAGCAGCCAGCTGATAATCAGAAAATAATAGAAAACACAAGAGGATTAAAAGCTTTTATTTCTAAACCAACACATTTAAAATGTAGATTTTATTTTGCAACAAATAATATAACTATATAAGGATTTCTCATTAAAGGGAACTCACAAAAAAGTTCAATTAAACCTCCCCTCCTCCCCCTTTGTGTAACTGCTGAATCCCGCATTTGGCACAAACTACTTACATTTATACAACTATACCTGCTTGAATTGCAAAATTAAATCTGTTTAACTCAGTAGAAATGCCACATGAGAGCACCACATTCAAATAGGCACATGATGGATAACATAAAGAAAATCCTACAAATATTGCAATGATAATGATTTCTTTTTAAGATATGACATTTTGCCACGTGAGAATTTATGGATAAGAGAAGAAAAAAAAAACTTTCCATCTGGAAATCAGATTTTAGATCCAATGATAGAAAAATCCTGTTAAGAGGATGACATTTGAATGACATTTCACTATATTAAGTAGAAGTCTGCGCTGGAGATAAGCGATAATAGAAGAAACTAAAAAAAGAGCTGAACACACTCAGAGAGCTCATAGCATGTTATCCTATTTGATATTAAACACATTAGTCATAAATCAGTAGGGGAATCGTACACTACAATCATCAATATTCATAAGTTTGATAGAGAGGAATGTTGATGGAAAATTAGCACAAGTGTTCTGACATTTCTTATGCATCATAATATATTATTCCGGGATACAGAGCAGTTCATTTGGTACCGTTGTCATTTTCTATCCTGCCTCAGTAATTCAGCTCTTGTTTTTGTCTCGTCTTGATTTCATTGCAAGAAACCCCGAAAAGATCTCACAGCTAAAAATGAGTTGTGGAGCAAACCTTCCCCAGAGACTGGCAGATAGCTCACTGAAGTTAGTACAGGTAGCTGTACTAACTTAGCAACGGGTAAGGGGACTCAAACAGACGTTAAAGCTAAGGGTGTCCTAACTTTTACCTTACCAAAAAACAATTATTAAATAAATAAAAGTTTTTACAGATATATCCAGGGCATGGATAAAATCCTATACAGCTTAATGTAAACAACACGTCTACTAGACATTAAGTACTTTATATTCTCAGGGAGGCTTTTGAGTCAACACCAACTCCTGACCTCGCTCACTGGCATCATCTACCAGGACAATCTCCACCAGCAGGTGTCTCGGAGAGCGGTTGATGACACTGTGGACGGTCCGCAGCAGGGTGCTCCACGCCTCGTTATGAAACACGATGACGATGCTGGTGTTGGGCAGGTCGTCTGGGTACACCTTGGTTTTACAGCTGGCACAGAAACGTAGACAAGAGAAATCAGTGGATTGAAGTCTAGACAACTGCATGCAGATGAGCTTTACAGAAATATAAACTATCAGAACCTTTCAAACGTGTTCATGCACATTTTTTTTTCAATTTGCAACCACAAATATCAATGTTTTCTTAAGACCAACATAATGTGGTGCCATAACATGAAGTGGGATAAAACAAGTCTTCCCCCCTCCCACCTCTCAATTTAAAATCTGAGAAGTGCGGCATGCAACAGGTTTGATAAAGTTAGATCAACAACTCATTTGGATCCTTTGAGATTTCAAACGATCCATTGCCAATAGTGTCACACATCCAAAGACATCACAGTAAATCTTTTTTTGTTTGTTGGGCAGGTAGTAAAATGACAATGAGAATAAATACATGTCATTAGCAGCTAAAGTATATTCAGTATAACAGACAGCCACCAGCTAAATGTAAACATGTTTCATTTTGCTGGCACCAGCATCAATAAAATCTGAAACTACTTGTTCAATACTTTGCTGTTAGTTCCACAAAGTGGTTTATTAAAGAGCCTGAAAACAAAGTTTTGGTTTCCAGCTGCTCTTCAACACTGCCGCCGGTGCAGAAACATTCTCACCGGGGGAGAAGGAAGAAGTAGAACCACTGCTGACAGCAGTGTCATCGTGTCCTTTGCTCCATGTGATGTTTGCAAAAGAATATTGGTGAGGCAGTGATAAACTAGTGGATGTTATTGAATAAAATATTCACTACATTACGGCAGAGGAGCTGGACAGTGGAAGTGCAGTGGATGGCAGGAGGACGAATGGGGAGAAGTGACAGAGGGTGAAAAAAGCCACCGATGCAGACAGCATTGCTCGTTCAGTCCCGTCTATTCAACATGACAGCGCAGACTGACAGAACTAGGCCAGGAGGTTCCCTTAAAGAAAAAGTGTTATTGCCCTTCACAGATAACTCTGTCCCTATCTGGATTATTCTCACTGCGTAGCTGCAGAAACCTTGCGAAACTGAGCTGTGTACTGCAATAAACCTGTTGTAGTGTTTATGTGGAAGAACGAATTGTACTATGATAGATGGAAAAAGGTTGACACTGAAATCCACTAAACATTCACCTTTTCTCTGTAAAATAGGTTTACCGGTGCAAAGTGCTTCAGAACAAGGCTCAATCTACTTAGTTTTCATTCTAGCATAAAGTAGTAAAATCACTCTGACTGAGTGTGGTCATCACATGAATCCAAAATACTGCGTGTCTGTATTTTGTTCTGTGGCAGCTCAGTATTAACACAGGTGTCATTATAACTTAAATAACCACCCATCAGCAACCTCTCTAGGTCGGTGACCACAAGCCATGCTTGGCAAAATATTATTAAAAAAAAAAAAATTAAAAAGTAGTTAAAAATGAGTCCTGAGGAAGATGTTGAGCAATTTCATTCTTTTGCACACAGGTTACGGCTCCTGACAACCACTGACAGCAGCCATTGTAGAAGGCGATGCCTTTGCATTGTTCTATATTCACAACAACAGACCAATGAGGCATCTGCAGCAATGCGGATGCTGCTGCAATATGACTATTAATTTTTCACTTCATTGTACACTCAGTCATACTTGAACTTCTTCACCTGGGGCAGAAGCTCATTTCCCTCAAAGATACTGCATTGCACTTTCCACTCTTAAAAAAAAAAAGTGTCTTCTAACACTTCAAACAGAACACATTATCTGCAGACCTCTTTCCTGATGGAAACAGGAAACATGTGCCTGGGTAAATATTTCCATATAGATTTGTTACAGTCGCCGTCTAACCACCAGTGCGGCAATGTGGTTCATAGCAATGATGTGGAAGCAGAAGAATACGTACCCGTCCAATCTCACATCTGGTAGGCTCCTGTTGAGCGCAATCATGTCACTGGCCATCAGGTTAAACTGGTTAATCTTAAAGAGCTCCTTCATCTTCCCCTGGTCGTCTTTAGGGATGTTCACCGCCTTGCCCATCTCGCCTGGACCCTCGTGACTCCGAGATATCACAGCTGCGAGAAAAGACATGTTTCTCTCAGAAATGACGAGCATGAATAGCAGCAATTCAGACTAATTAAAAGCCAACAGAAAAAACATCTCTTACATCACTGAACATAATAAGTAAGGCTTAGCAAGATACACCCAGCTTGTACACATCCAGCAAGTGCCACACAAAAAAATGTCTTCACAGATTTCTCCTGTTTTTGCCTTTTCTCACACATTTCATATCATTGAACACATTTCAATATGAGACAGAGAACAGCCTTGTAAATACAAAATACAGTTCACAAATGATGATTTATTTAAGGGGAAAAAAATCTATTCAAACAAACCTACCCCTAGGTTAAATTGTAATTATCCCCCTATCTAAATTTTATTTTGCTAGGCACAACCAAGTACTATAACTGCTAGACTGGATGAATTTAAAAAATCACTTAAATAGAACCTGACTGAAGTAAGCTTAAACATATCAAAAAGTGACACATCATGCACTTTCAAGAATGTATGAGGAATGAAGTCAGTGACCTCATCAGTCTGGCAAGGGGTACAAAGCCGTTTCTAAGGCTTTGGGAGAGCCAATGTCCACAAATGAAGAAAACATAGCAGTACATAAAACAATTTTCTTTAGATTGCTGTTTGTTATGATTATCAGAGAGAATTCAGACTCAACTAAAATTAGTATTTGTGGGGTCAAAGTTTTTCAGAAAACAGAAATTGAAAAACTATGAGTCTGTTTGATTTCTATACTTATGAAACTGTATTGATTCTAATACAGAAAATGTGAAACATATCTCACTTATTTCTAGCGGGCAAAAGTGGCATTTGTAAGAACAATCTGTTTCTAAAACATCAGTGACAATGAACAGACAGACCACCAGTGACTGTACTAATGTCTGCCATTAGTACAGACAGGGCAGACACCCTAGACACCCTCCTCTTTGCTCTGGCTTAAGCTAACTGGGCATTAAGCAACATGCAGCCTGGCAGCTATATTTAAATTTACAGATGATCTACTGGAAATATATTATAGAGATTTAGGAGAAAGTATGAGTTCCAGGACTTTGCCAATTCTAGCTTAGAAGCAAAAGAAGGTTCACATAGTTGCTTATAGCCCTCGTGGGAACATTACCCTACAGTTCTGCCTGCAGAACATCAGCAGATTAGCGTTGCTGCTACAGCACAGTGTCAGCTCTTTTCAACAAAGGTAAATAACATCACATGGATTTATGACGCAGCTCTCCCCCCACTCTCCCTCAAATAATCCCTCAAAACAGAGGCAGCGATTTCCATGAAAGAGGGCAACGTGGGACACTGGCTGCACAGCGAACAGCTAAGAGGATTCCGCAGAAAAAACGCTTTGTTGAAATGGACTGATGTTGGCCATATTGTCAATATCGGCTGACCCTGCTCTTTTCTTGATGCCGCTGTTGACAGCCACAGTATGTCAATGAGCTCTCATTTGAAGGACACAGCTACAGTGTTGAGCTGGGCGCCTGAGCAAAATCAACTTCCTGACCCACTCCAAGCTATCACTAAGTATGTATGAACACATATTTCAAGAAATCTCTCACATGATGAAAACATACAGCAGTCAATAGGAGTCATTTTCCTGATCAACTTGCATCATGGACGTATAGGCAGGTGGACAAATGGATGGCGACTACATAATACATGTTCCCAGGAGCTGAAAGATGATTTTCTCAGAGTTTTTGTATGTATCGTTACCACAGTCGTATCTATATCTATATGTCTTCTGAGAGGTCCATTATTGCCTCAGCTGGACTGTCAGGATGCCTACCAATCTGCATGCAGATTTTCTGCTGAGTCCTTCATAACAAGGCTTCCAACATCCTGCAGCTATGTTCAGTCTCATTTACTTTACAGAAAAGGGTCTGTGTAGCCGAGCACAGTTGGAGGCCTTTTTTTTTTGCAGGCTCAATCCATTACCTTCTCCGCCTTTAACCGCTGTGCTCTCCCTCCTGCCTGCAAGTCTGACACCGCTGGCATTATATTATAAATAACAGACACTCCACCACTATGCAGAACGAGCAAGGTTCATCTTATAAATTACTGCTCGGGAGAAAGGAAACATACAGAGTTTGCTCTGCTGGAGAAACTCCATCAACATTAAATCATTGTGTTTTATGTGCCAATTCTAATAGTAGGATTGATTTTCTTCGTTCCAATTAGAATTTTTTTTTTTTTTTTCCAGGTTGTGAAAGGTGAAAGTTTTTCAAGCAAATAGCTTTGAACTACAACCAGAGTGAATACAATATTTACTTTAGGAGAGGAAGAAAGTCTAGAGAATAACTTTTTATTAAAAAAAAAAACAAAAAAAAAACAGTGGCTGCAATTAAAAGATGGTCTGCGCTACAAATGGTGAGTTACAACAGAAACAAATCTCAGATTAAAACGATAAACTGAGTAGAAACTTAAATAATCAATCAGTGTACTTATTCCAGCATAGGCTTTTCTCACTTTAATGCACTGCTCTCAAATGACCACCTGCTCAGGAGTGATTTAGCTGCACTATGGTGTGAAAGAGAAGCAGAACGATTAACAGATTTTTACTGCAGAATCCATTAAAAGTCCATTTCTGCGCATATTATTAGAATCTGTCCAAACAACTGTACCCTGGAATGTCAGAAGAACATTAATTCTTCGTCAAGCAGAGTAATGAGGAGTAAATGGCCATAAAGTTCATTGTAGTGACAGCTAAATGCAGTGTTTTCACAGTTTGCCTGCTCTAATCAAGAATATCAGGCAGAGACTATTAAAGACATCATTATCCACCTGGTAACAGTAGCAAGAGTTTAATGGTCTGATGTTCACTACGGTTTAGAAAGGGGAAACCTTTGTAAATAAGCTCAGGTCACATTGCAGAAAAGAGAACATATTGCTCTCACAATACCTTGTAGTCTTCATGTTAGTTACCAGTAAGCAACTATGTACATTTTGGTGGATTAAACTGTTTGGGGGCATATTCAATGAGCATTTAATGAAATCCATGGATGCAATTTTTCAACATGTATTCATTCAGGTTTCTAAATTATACCAAAATCAGATGAGAGCAAGTAAAGATGAAACTAACAATCTTCAGACTGGTTATGCATTCTGCACACATTAAACAGGTGCAAACAAAAGTTGTTTTTAGAAATACTTTTCTAAAAATTCTTCCAAACAGATGCAATCTATTTGCATAACACAGTCTTCAACTAAATCATTAGTCAATTACTTTGGGGAAAAAAGGTTTGCAATTTTGTATATTTATGTCAACTATAGCCAAACCAAAAAAAAAAAAAAAAGAAAAAAGCATCCGATTTTCAATGACCGTTGCTGTTTGCAATACATATTTAGAAAGGACTATTTAATGTCACCTTGAAAGCTGTTGGTAACTGTGATGCAGGAGAAGAAGCAAAAGATAAAGAACCCAGCTGCAGAAAAACAGGGAGCTGAAGGTGTAATTTAGCTTTTTGTACAGAGATGGGTTTTTGATTTCCTTAAATGATCTCTCTAACCTGCAAATATATTTTAGATTTAATGCCGTTTGTAAAACCCTGCACTTGTTTTTTTTTTTTTTTAGAATACAACTCGCTCACATACACAGGTTACTGCGCTCAACTGAAAGAACTATGATGCCCTCATCAAGCAGCATGACTCAATGCACCAAGGACAGTCTAAACCAGAAAACAGAGTGCGGGGAGACTTGGAGAGAAACCAACTAGAAACCAATGAGGGATTTTTTTTTTTTTTTCACATTTGCAATAGGATCTATCAAAAGGAACAAAAGTCATCAATCATTATTTTACAGATTTGCATTGAGTGTATGCAATATTTGATTAACAGGACCAATTTTTATTTCAAAACAGTACTTTTTGTTTTTAGGAAAATCAAATAAATGGTTTGAATCCCTGAATTTTACTACCTATATAGTAGATAGTATGTTTTACTATCTAGTTGTAAAGCAAAAATTTAAGAATTACCACCTAAAAGTCAGATTTTTTCCCTTGCAGTTTTGGTGATACTGTAAGGAGCAATTTTCTCTCTTTCATTCATTTTTGTGAATTATTTTTTGTCGTGGGAAGTCATATTTATACTTTGCAAAGAGAATGTAAATTGGTCATAAAAGGACTGCACCAAAATGGAGGACTATGCAGTCCATTTATTTGCTTTGTGAGCCAGATGCACAAATGGATGCAAATGATAGACAGAAAACTTTAAATTACAAGGAAATGTTTGCAGATATATGGAATGCTTTATAAATCATCAGACTTGATCCATCTTACATGCAAACTAACTACAGTGTATCATTTGACTTTTTTTAAATGGCATCAGCCAGAGAAGCTGGCAGCTCTACTTCGTTCCAACCTAAAAGCAGATTAGTAAGCCTCTTATAAAACGTGGCAACCTGCTTTCTTGAGGGCATGTGAGGAATCAGGCTTTGCTAAAGACGAACTCTGCATATCTGATCGTAAAAGTGTAATCTTCGAAAAAAAAAAAGAAAACACAAGCCACATGTATGCCAGAGATTTTCAGGGCATGTCTGTACGCTTTGCTCTGGACGTTTTCCAGAGTTTCTGTTGTTGTTCACGCATGTTTCTCACAGCAGGAGGTTCTCTGCTGGAGATGTGCTCCAACAGCTTGACACACGAAGAAGGTTTTGCAATAGTGGCTGACTATCAGACACAGAAGCCAAAACAAGACAAAAAAGATTGGGTTTGGAAATAAGTATGTTTTCTCGTCTTCAAAAAACAGATCGTAGATTCATGTGACCATTGGGAAAACTGAAGGAACCTCAGCTACTCCTAATGTTTAAACCAAATATTGTTTGAAAAAGAAAAAAAACAAAAGAAATCTGGTATTATACAATACTGCAGCCAGAGGTCAGTATTACCATTAATACTGTACTATGAATTACTTGTTCTAATACTTCAGTTGCACTTTGCTGTCATAAAATGATTTCAGATGTGTTTACACTAAATGTTAGTTCTGCATTAATATCACTTATGTTTAGTCATACTCTGTGCTATCACATAATGTCATGTCTATACAAATAGCCTGTGTTTGTATATTTGCAGTGAGACTAATCAAGTTTGAATATAGAAGCAAACACAAGGCAGAAAGCACTGATTTTATGCCAAAGCATCCTAAGAACATTTAACATCAATGACTGCTGATTTTAAATATACTTATGTGTGAAATGGTCCCTTAAACTGAGCGCTGTAAGCTTAAGATATTGAAATATCAGTCTGCCCACAGGTTGTCTCCAAAGGAAAACTCCTTTATAGATTCCTTCTGTCTTTCCTTGTTAGTCTCACTTTAACGTTTAATGTTTGAAATTGGCACACAGATTTGAACTCTTTCATGACAGAAATTACTTGGGTAAATATAAAATCTAGATCTCCATTGAGGAATATACTTACTATAGGACACATAAAATGTGACACTTTATGAAATTAAAAACATAGCTGGAGTTTTTTTTTTTTTCCAATTTATTTTTGGGCCATGTGATGTACAAAGGTTAAATCTTGCACGCATTTAACTGTTACTGAAAAATCTGAAACATACCAAAAATATTGCATTAGGGGACAGATAGTCCCGATCATGATGTAAAAAATAAATCAACAAATAATCACACAGAGCTTTACATCATGTTATAATGTTATCCCTTCATCAAAAACATATCTGGAGTGTTGAATTGTGCATCTGCTCAGCTCATTATACAAGCTACTTCTGACTGCAACGCTGGTGAAAGCACTGGTAAAGGATTAATAGAGGAGAAATGTTTTGACGACTTTCTGAAGGCAGCGTTTGAGACAAAACAGAAGGTTTTAAAGAGACGGAGGCCCAATTTTAAGGGGTTAAATTACAAAGTCAAATTTCTTTTAAGTAATATTTGATATTTAGCTTTTTTATAACTGGAGGTGGCATAATTACTTGACTGTGCTGTAAAATGACACTATGTGCCAGGAAAACACATAGCACCTACCCTGTAATAAATTGGTGAAAAAGTACCTCAAATAATTTTGCACTGCAAATAGCTTTACTTCTGTTATTAATGGAAATGATAAAGGAAATAGCTTTTATCCAGAATGCACAGAAATATAAAGTGGTTTGCAATCTATGAGCAAAGTTATTCATTCCACCTACAGATTCAGGTATGAAATTACTTTCAGCCAACGGCAAGTCATAGGAAATGATGCATATCTTAATAAAACAGTCAGAAAAGGAAAATAAATTTTCAATGAATATTTTCATTTGATGTTAATTTGCATTTAATTAAAAAAAAAAAAAAAGATCAGGTCGAGCATTGTTTATACTTTTCAATCTGGCAGTACAGCAGTCAAACCCTGCTTGTATTTGCAGACCAGCTTTTTGAAAATGTTTCCACTGGTGTTTGATTAATCTTTGGTGATGAGCTTCAGGTTGAAAAGCATCCTTGTCATCACCTTTATCATCATCTTTAGCTCCTACTACAGATTCCCTGTTAGGTCCTAACTGAGCCCCATCAATACATTCATATTACTTCCAGTCTGAAAAAAAAAAAAAAATTACTGGTCAAATTAAAAGATTACTTTAAACCTGAATCTGCAAGGGTGTGAATTATTTTGTGTTTAACATCTTACATTGATTTTCAATGCATTATTATTATTTTTTTTATTAGTATTTAATTTTCTCAGGAGCGTTGAACAGAGAAGTAGTTCACATGGTAAGCTCAGCAGACGCACATCTCCACCAGGTGTTTGCTAATTAATGCTGAGTGGGGGAGTCATGACGGAGGGGTGTACTGTTTTTTTAAGTGCTACATGATGTAACACTTAAAAAAAGTCGATTTTATGCCATGCCTCCAATCCCCTTTAAAACGCCAGTTAACACTGAAGAAAAGGGTGACAGGCAAGCCAGGCTTGATTGAATTACTCCCGGACTTAGTTTGAAGCTTTACGCTTCCTCCAGTTGTGTCTGAAACTGAAAGGTGTGAACAAGGTTGTGAACTCACCTCGGAGCGCGGGGAGCAGAGAGCGATCTTTCCTCTCATCGCATTTGTTACATTCGCTGAAGTACAGCAGCAAGAACACGTCGACCAGCACCCACACCAAGGAGGTGGTCAACACCACCTTGCAGTAAACAAACCGCCGCATCACCTCTGGGAGGTCTGTCTGTCAGGCAGGCAAGCAAGACGGATGGAGGTGAGGACCTCGGATGTCTCAGACAGCCGGAGAGGTGTTTGATCTTCGGAGGTGGGGGTGAGGATGAAGGGGTGAGACGGAGAAGGTACAGCCAGGAGGCATTCTCCTACAGAAACAGGCAAACACAAACGATATCTCACCATCTTTTTATCTTAAAAAAAAAAAGGGTTCAAATAAACACACTACAGTTGAGCTATAATCTGGGATCTATCATTTGGCACGCATTTTAGTTTTGACATAAATTAAAAAAAAAAATTAAATGAAAAAAGTTGGGTATGCGTTTGTATGCAGTCCCACGCCTGCTAAGTCTAGTTCACAGTTGTGTGCTTCTTTGTGTTGCTGTGTCCCATTGGGGTTGTAACATGTAAAAAAAAAAAAAAAAAAAGATAAAAAAACACAAATACTAACCCTAAAATGACGGATTCATTTGTTCCCATTTCCATCAAACTGTTAAAACACACATCATGAGGATTGAGCACTACCTCAAGTAATGAAGTAGCAGGTAAATGCAATTCATGTAAAGTGCAATATTCATTTATACAGTGATAAGTGAGTGCTTGGGGGGTGGAGGGAACCATTATTGTTTTCTGCTGTGGTGCAGAAGCAGAGAGGAGTGCAGCTTGGAGTCAACAGCTAATTTTCATACATGGACAATGACGTCTATTATACCCTAATGAACTAGTTCATGCTAAATAAGCTAGTCATCCAGTGTGCCTTCAGAATGACCATTAACAATAAGCATTTTTGATATTTTGATTTTCAACCATATTTTCTGTAAATAATTTTTTTTTCTTGCAAATAGGGTGTAGAGTCAAATACATTTATACTTCTGCCTACCTCATTTTTATGCAAATGATTATGTAGATATGTGCTATGGTATTTGAATGTGAATGCTTGAAATAAACAAATAAACTAAACCAGATCTCCAGGACTATCATCCATTGGAGGTCAAACCCAGCTTCCCGTGGGCTTTTGTGCAATGCCAATGTCACCATTAGGAGAGCACAACACTCTGCTAATCACAATTTGTTTGGCAGAGTCGAGCTCCTATAGCCAGAGACAACAAGGCAGTTAACTGTACCAATTGCCAAAACAGGTGGATGGAACATGTTCAGTCGCATGAGGAGATCACTGCCATTTGCCAAAAGCAGAACAATGATGCATACCAGAGCGGAAAAACAATCGGAGTCCATCTGAGTCCCAGAGGCGGAGGTGTTTCTGAAACTTCCAAGTTTTTAAAAATGCAAAAAAAAAAAAAAAAACTTAAATTCATAAAAATAGCTACACGCAATATTCCCCTTTAGATGAGCCAGGGACTTGACAATCATATGAATAAACCATTTTCTTTGAAATGTATAACTATTATTCACCAATAGCAATGATGAGAAATGGATTAATATAGTTGCTAAACCCAGTCTGGCAATAACATATCAGATGTAGTGGAGATTTGGAACCATTATACCCAGTGAAACTAATAACACCATTTTATTCAAAAACTTAGAGCAGAAATACAAATGAGATGCATTTTCTCTTAAACCTCACAGTCTCTTCAAATGGGCTGACCACTGGCTTATTTCTCTTGCATCTGAAAGGATGAGATCTTCCTGTTTTCTTCCTAACAGATTTCCCCTACTTCATCAGGAGTGTTGCAACAACCATCTGGGAAGCCTTCGAATCAAAGGCAGTTTGCGGAGGTTAAATATTCTCTGGCAAAGAATGCAGGCTCCACAATATTTTGTGATGAAGAATAACAATTTTCTGTCAAACTGGATTTCCCACTTGGCTGAAATTACAGGGTTTTGTTGACTGAAAGCCACATGACCACATAATTGGCATGGAAATAGAATGATGGGGGAAAAAAATGCTTTCAGCCATCAAATATCGTACACACACAAAAAGAAAAAAAAATATCAGGCAGTTTTCACGCTCATGCCAAACATATGCAGTCAATCTCCAAAGCGTACTAAAGCGTGTTAAAATGTCAGGTGTTGGTGATGAAAAGTACAACCAGAATTGCAATTCAACTAAAATATTTAAGTGGGTAAGAGGAGGAAAGGAAAGATTTATACATCTCTAAAATATTACCAAATTAACACCTTTTTAGGTGTTTTTTTTGTTTTTTTTTTTTGTTTTTTTTTTGAGTCCTCAGCATTTCACGTCTCCACTTGGTAACATTTGGCAACTTTAGTTTGCAAAAATTCTCCAAAACGATCAGATTATGATTATATCTCTCCTGCACAGCCGTCTGCAGGGAACCACACAGATGCTGAAAAATAAAACCCATCATCACCTCCAGCTTTAATGCAGACATCTGTATATTTTAGGTCAAAGCTGACTGGGATATGAAACTGTTTAGAATGTTATGAATGTGGAGGGGGAAAAAAATCTGAAGAACAAAAAAAAAGTCCACAGTATGATGCTGTCAACCCTATATGTCACTGAGGTGTACTGCACTGTTGTTTTGATGCTAACATGAAATTCAAGCTAGAATGGTCATTTTATTCTTCCTTGTCTTTTTTCTTCTGTCTTGTCCTGCCATCTGTGTTTTTATGAATTACAAAGACACATCCAATGTTTCCAATATTGCCGTTTTCAGATGTTTTTCTACAGTTGTTGAAGACGGCCTTCACCATGTCATGATGAATAATGTCATATAGGTATTTTTTTCTACTCTGCTTCTTACTAATACATTTGTGCAAGGAGATCAGTTTGGTTATTTGTAATTTCAGTAATGGGCAAGGCTTTTGCTTTTCCATGAATTTTCAAAAGTTTCCCTCCAACATATTTATTTATTTTCAACTGAAGTGCAAAAAGCTTTAAAATTGCTTGTATGTCTGTTTAATAAAATACAGAACGGTGTCATGCTACACACTGCTACAATTGTCATTAATGCTGCTGAAAAATCCCATAAGACCATAAAATGCCTTTTTTGTTAATCCATTTGTGTGTAACTACAAAACAAGCAAAACACAAACAAATTCAAACTGGATAGTTTAAGGTAAACATATCCAATGTGTTGTATCTTAATACCAACATTTATCCTCTGTTATCCCTTTTTACACTGATAAAAACACAAGGGATAAATGGTTTTGGTCTGGTCAAAGGACAGAGCCGTTTTCCTGCTGCCCCATATATGGAACAGCTCACAGTTGGAGCCCTCAGCAGCGGTTGTTCAAGGTCTTCATATGGAAAAAGCAGCAGTGTTTCAGGAGGGATGGTCCTACACAAATTTAGTGAAGCAGAATAAAAGGGTAATTGGTGACTATGCACAGCTTCCTGACTATAATGTGGCACCAGTGTCACAATTTGGGTTGGTTTAACTGCTGATGAAGATGGGAATAGTCTGTTCAGTGTGATGTGGAGTCTAAGTTATCTGCCACACATGAATTTCAGCATAATGTTGCCGTAAAGTTACATTGAGGGCTGATTTGACCAGTGTACTTCCTTCCCCATGTTTATTGTGTCCCTTACATGAATGAAGTGGGAACAACAACTGGGAAACCTCTTCTATTTGTGCAATGCACAGCTGATAGTTGTCAACAGATTCTCCCATATGAGCCATGGGTCTCTGCAGCTCCTCCAGAGTTACCATGAGCCAAAGGTCTGCTTCTCTTTCTAATGGTCTCTTTGCTCAGACTGTCAGTTTATGCAGGTGGGCTGTAATTTTGCAGTTGTGACACCATTTATTTTTTTATTTTTTTTGGATACTGGATTGTCCACAGCCTGGGAATCATCATACAACATCTGTTGCACTGTACTAATGGACATTGCTTGGTTTGACACCAAATTTTCAAATATAGTTTAAACAAGAAATAGATTTTTTTTTTTTTTATCATCTGGGAGAATAATGTAAGCATATTTACCTTCATAATCATTTCAGCAGTGCATAATCCCTGCAGCAAGGGAAACTAAAACTAATTTCCATTCTCATCCCTTGCAGCATGCTAATGACTCAGACTCCACAGACACAAACATATATTGTCCTCTGCGCTGCCGATCTACATACTCAGAGAAACTGATGCTGTTGCCCCGGGCAAACTCGTACCTCATACCTCATTCAAAAACCAGTCAGCCACTGTCCAGCAGAGTGAATGCAGCATCCACTGGGCAGCGGATGATTTCAGACAAAAAACAGCTAAAAAAAAAAACTCCAGAAACACAAAAGTCTGCATGTAGCACATTATCTCCATTTACACGCTGTGCACAGATCAATGGTAATCGTCAAATTATGCCTGACATCAGCCCGCATCACCTGCATTGATGCATCTGGTGTAAATAATAAGGGGTGGGGGAAAAAAAGAAAGAAAAAACACCAACTTACTTGAGGTTCGTCCAAAGGCAGGCGACTAAATTATTCCTATCCTCTGCATGGAATAATATCTCAGCTCTAGAAAAACTTCAGTATCGCTAAGGCAAATTCTTCCTCTCCTTTCATGACAAGTAGCAGGCATTAGCTGCCTTCTCGAGTGACAACTAATTGGGTTGCGGGCAGCAGTCTTTGTTGTGAAATGTCTGACACAATTCTCCAAGTTGGATTACACATTACACATTTGTCACTTATTCAACAGGAGCGACTGCACTCACTGCATGATACGGAGAGGCTGCTTAGCAAATTGGTTTCCTCTGTGCAATAATAGGAACAGTCTTGCAGCCAGACTTGACTATGAAACCATGAGATTTACCTCGTGAGAAAAATAACAAGACATAAGGAAGAAAATAGCATTTAAATGCATCAAATTTATCACTTGGATGAATAAACATACAGCATATACAAGTACAGCTTAAAAACTATAAATATTGCGAATGTGATATGGCTTAGAGCTGAAAGATATCTTACAATCTGTTTATTTTTATGTAAATATTGCAAACAGCTGGATCATAGCATTCTGTGAGGATGGAAAAAGTGTGACAGTAAAAGCGAAAACCGCAGCCTTGACAGGATTGTCCAGCAAAAGCCATTCAAGAATTTGAGGGAGCTTCACAAAGTGGAGTGAGGCTGGACTTAGCACATCAAGAGCCACTACTGCAGACAAATACCACAAATGGGCAACAAATTTTATATCCCTTATGTCAAGCTACTCCTGGACCAGATGCAACATCAGATGCAACTCATCTGGATTGTGAAGAAAAAGCACTGGACTGCTGGACTTTGGTCCAAAGTCCTCTTTAAAAATAAAAGTGAGGCTTTGCATTTCATTAGGAAATCAAGATTCTGCAGAAAGAGTAGAGAGTCACAGACACCCCATAACTGGAAAAGCTGCCGACAAGCTTTTATGGAGAAGCTTTCCTTTTCCAGCAAGGCTTGGCGCCTGCCTACACAGCTGTTGCCAAAGGAACCAAAAGCTGGTTAATTGAACATGGTGTTACTGTGCTTGATAGGGCAGCAAAGTCTGACCTCTGTAGGTTTGTGTCAAGAGGAAGATGAGAGACGCCAGATGACCTCAAGGCTGCTATTAAAGCAACGTGGGCTTCCATTTACAACTCGGTAAAGCCACAAGTTTCTCATGCTGATCTAAATTACACACTTCTGAAGCCATTTACTTAAACCAATATATTTGAAAAGAATAACTTTCCCTCCACTTCACAACTACGTGCCACTTTTTGTTCACACATAAATTCCCAATAAAACACAGTTAAGTTTGTAGCCGTTTTGTGGCAAAACGTGAAATGTTTCAAAGGGTGTGAATACTTTTGTAAGTCAGTAATGTACTGGATAATACACTAATTTGGCTTGCCATAGTTAATACTAAAGTGTCTGTTTGGCAATTTGGTAGCAGCAAAAGTACTGAGGCGGAGAAATGTTTTCTTTACACAATCCTCTCCGGAACAGAAGGTGATTACAGAGCTGATCTCTGTAAACCCATTAGGCTGCAGGACATTTTGGTCAACATAACAATGTTCATAGTCTTCTAAAACATTTCCAAAATGTTATGAAATACTTAATCTGCGCCATGTTTCCTCTTACCAATGATTATCTCATTTGTTGCTGGGTGTTACATGGATATCAGTGCAGCAACAACAGCCAACCAATTAGGTTACTATTCAACCTGGATAAATAAACCATAGCAACAATCTCAACAGAAGTACAGTTGCGACTGCATTTATAATGTGATCAGAATATCCCAATGCAGGGTGTGAATAAAACAGGAAAGAAAAACACTCTCTGCTTACCTAAATTATGGGTGTAGTGAACCGGTGACCTGATCCAGACTCTCTGCCAGGCAACGTGTTGAACATGATCAGATGCCTAAGAAATAAAGCAACTAATTTAGCTAAGCGAACACCGTCTGGAAATGACACCCAAGATGCGGTCCAGGGTTGTCCACAAACCAGTGAGCCGTTGTCGGTCCAGTCAGACCTCTCATGATACCTGCTTAGTGTCCTGGATGTAATTTCTAAGCGACACAGTTGAGGTGGCCGCAGTCAAACCGGTCCATAAGGAAACAGTCAGGAGGGTTTTCCTTATTTATTCACTCGGGGGTCTATCCACGCACCTGCTCCACGGCTGTACATAGAAACGGCGAGAAGACGGCGAGATAATGCTCCATACAATCTAACCTCAGCTCCGCTCACATCGACCCGCATGTGTCCCTCTCCTTCTCTCTGATTGGCTGACAGCGACATCAATCATGGGTTATGTTGTGAAGTGGAGCCTCAGTGGCGTCTGGTGGCCGTTACTCTCTACTCTTACTTTTTTGTATTATTGTTACTATTTAGTTAGTTAATTAAAAATAGTAACAGGAACATTGTTGGAAAAAAATTGAAAAAGAAAAATAGTTAAACTTTTTTATTTAAATCTTAAATAATAATAATAATAATTTTTAAAAAACATGTTGAAAATTATTAACTCCTCGCCTTTAAGTTTCCTTGTAGAAAACAATACTTTCTAATACAAAGAGTCAGGGACAGGATGGCAGTCTGTCTATTTTGGAGAAGTCGAGAGCTGCCAACCTGACCAGCGCGAGCAAAGAGTTACACTGAGTGCTTTCTAACAGACGACACCAAGAGGGGGCGCTGTCTCTTTGAGTAGCAAATAATGCGCGTCAGAGCACAGTGCGAGTCCCATCCGTTATGCATGTGTACGTGCACAAGTTGAATTGAATTGAATTGAATTGAATTGAATTGAATTGAATTGAATTGAATTGAATTGAATTGAATTGAAGATAAGACATCCAACCCCAACACAGGCATACAAATTCAGCAATATAGACATACAGAATGAAAACTACAAAAGCTGCAGAATACAGCCGTAAAACAGACACATATCCAGATTTCCACATTTGAAGCAAACCAAAAGAGATCATTCAGAATTGCTGCATTCCAATAGGTACAGAGCAATAGCAATGGCAGTCTCACTTTCTATGGCAAAAGCAAGTGATACTGAATAAACATGGAAAACGTGGTTGTGCAGGAAGGCAACCTCTTTCCAACTGAGTGTTTGTTTCTCTCTGTGTGTCCTTTCTGTTGGGGGGCACAGTTGAAGTGATGGAAAACTTTCAGGCTTTTACGTTTTTTTTAAAGGTGCAGTATTATAAATGAATAAATTATCGGAATTAATATGATAAAACCTCTATTATTAATTGTTTAGTTCATTCTTCTTGAACTTCAAAATGTATTTATATTGTGGTCAAATGTCTGAACAGCCTTTATAGGTGGTTGTTGGTATGCACCCGGAATAGTGGCTATCCACGAAAAGTCCAGATTTGAGGTTTAATCCCAGTCCGCCATTGCCCTCGGTTAAATTGACTCATGTTGATCGATGCTGCCATCTAGTGGTAGTGGCATGAAAGAACACTTAAATTCAAATCAGAGCAGATAGTTTGTCTAATACTCAGTAAAACTTTATTTCTCTGTTATGTACACCAACGAACTCTGAGTTGTCTTTAAATGTGACACTTTAATTTGGCTATATAAAGATTTATGGGTTTGTGTTCAGATGATTGAAAATGTGTTCAATCAAATGGCGAGCAAAGGTGGTCTGGAATATTCATAATTTATGATATATTTAATGATCATTTTGAGCCAAATTGTAATAAAAGCACATTAGTTGATGTGTTCTGTTTAAATAAATAATGCTTATTTTAAAGCAGATGGAAAGTTTCAATAACAACAACTAAAGCATGTATCACACAAGGAAATTCAATGTTTTGCATGATTTAAGAAAAATAAAACTTGAATATGTTTTTAACCTTGATCTAAAGGAATTCAGTGTTTTAGCATTTTATTATTTTTTTTTTTTTTACAGTTGCTGGAAGTTTGTTGCAGATTAGTAGAGTGTAAAAATTGAATGCTGCTTCTCCATGTTTGATTTGAATTCTGGAAGTGCAGAGTAGACTTGAACCAGAAGATCCAAGTGGTCTGGGAGGTTGATGCAACAATATCAGGTTCAGTGATTTTGTAAACTAACAAATCTATTTTAAAGCCGATTCTCTGACCGTCAGTGTAAAGTCAATTTGATGTAATCAAACACGAGTATTTAATCAAATCAAATACGATTGATATTTTATTTTTTATTTTTCACTGAGCTGTAAATATGAAAATGTGGACATGATAGCTGATTGTTACGTTATTTGACACAAGGTCAGCAGGGAATCTGTTGAAGTTCAGCTCCAAGATGAGTCAGATGCACACCCCAACACAAAGCAAGCTGAAACATTTATCAAAATCACACACACACACACGTACACATCCAGGACCCTGTGCAAAAATGCCCCACTATCATCATATCGCATCATCCTGACTGAAGGTCTACACAGCCAACTTACAGTCTTGTCCGCATGGTGGCGCTCGGGCTGTTTCCTCCAACCCAAGTAGCAGCAGTCTGGCTATTTAACCGCGGGGTGTGTGGATTCATTCCGCTTTGAAACTGGCAACGCAGCGCACCGGATCTCCAGTAATGCGATTCCAAAGCAGCTTTCTAAACTCCAGAAGGGCGCTGCTTGATCCGGAGGAACTTCTCTAACTTCGCTCCTCATCTTCACTCCTCACTTGATGACAATTGCTGCGGGACATCATCTCTCCCCTGTTTGATTTTTGTCTTTATTTTTTGGAAAGTTTTATTTTTTTATTTTTATTTATTTATTTATTTATTTATTTATTTATTTATTTATTTTTAAATATTTTATGCCAAAGTAGAGATGAATAACACCGGGTTCAACCAGACTGAGGGCGCGCTGTTCAACAAGACAGAAGAGTTTTTCTGCTGCAACTTCTCCTCCGTGGTGACTGACAACGGCTTTGTGGCCGCGGCTCCGGACGAGAGGAGCCTCTTCATCATGCGGGTGGTCCAGATAGCCGTCATGTGCGTCCTCTCCCTCACCGTGGTGTTTGGCATATTCTTCCTGGGCTGCAACCTGCTCATAAAGTCCGAGGGGATGATAAACTTTCTGGTGACGGACAGAAGACCCTCCAAAGAAGCGGAGGCGGTGATTGTTGGAGCCTACTGATGGACGAGGAGGACGCTGGCAGTCTTGGTGCTGGAATCAGATGGAGAGGGTGCGACGATCAACAGCCCCGAAAACAAGGCCCTGTTGTTATGTTTTGTACAGTTTATAAAAACCTGAAAGAAGCGCTCTGTCTGTAAGGGCACACTGATGGGGACTGAGGCGCACAGCTGCTCACCTTTAGTCATGTGGCCTTTTTAATGCCAACAGTCTCAGAGAAGGGAAAGTGCGCTGAGATCCTCTTTAGTTAAGTGTCCAATCACGCACTGATCTCATTTAATAGTTGTAAAGCATCAGTCTGACGCAAAGGTTTCGCATTTGCTGCTTTACCAACGCAAGGGGGGAATTAAATGTTGAACGTCTTTGCTCTATTTGGCATAAAATGGGCAAGACTCCGGAAAAAAAATAAAATATGTACTAATTCGCAGAAATGATGAAAGGCTGAATAATAAATGTAATTAAAAACTCTTTTCCTCTTAATTGATATTCGTTCACACATCTTGCTTTGAGAGTTACAGTTCAGTTTTTGTTCAATTATATCAGTTTTATTGTACTGGGGGGGGTAGGGGGGGAGAGGGAGTTGAGGGGTTAATTTAGAGGAAAATAAGTCATCCCCCAAGAAACATTTTGTTTAAAAAAAGAAACGACGTGTGGGAATGTGGTTGAGAACCGAAAGGGAAAATACCTCCAAATTAAAACCTCTACTGATTTCTAAATGTCATTAAAAAGTTATTAGAATCAAATTGCATGCTTGACTTTCAGCATTTTTGTGTGGGCTCCCTTTGGACATAATCTACACTGTACAAATTAGTAATAATTAGTAATATATTAGGGCAATAAATATTACATGTAACAATTATTTTAATTGCATCAATCTTGTTAGTCTGTAAGCTTAAATTTTTAGCGTCCTTACATTGTTTGATAACCTGTCTCAACAATTTAAATGGAATTAAATTAAATAGTTTACTTTCATTCATCATGTGTCTCATAAACGCAACAACGTGAAAATGTATTCCTCCTCGTACAGAGTTCTTCTGTTTTTTTGCATTTTTGGTAACACTTAAAAGTTTCAAATCATTCAGAATAATAATAACAATAACAGCAATAGACAAAATAACCAGAATAAATACAGAAAAGGAATTTGCACATTCTAATTTATTTTAATAGGGAAAAAAAACCTATCCAAAGCAGCCTGGCCCTTCTAGTTGTTTCAATTGAATAACTGGTTAACAACTTCAAGAATTTTACAAAAACTTTAGGACTCTCTCATGAATGCTAATTTTGGCTAGTCTCTTTGCTATTGTTGACTCATGATTAACCATTAACTATTTCCAGACTGACAACTTGTTTTTCTTCTGTTCTTAAATTTATTTAGCTTGTGGAAGGATGTGTTGCTTTTGAGATGTTTTTGCCTACTTCATCTTGTCAGACAGGGTCTTTTAGGTGACTTTTAGATTTTTCCAGACAAGAGACTAAATCAGGAGTTAAATGTTGTTAGTCACATATAAATTAGGACGCAATTATCTTTTCATATAGTTCCAGGTTGGTTCAGAAAATGTAAGTGTTTGTCCTACTTGAGCGGGTTTAGCATTGATGCTAACATTCCAGCAACCTTGACAGCTTCTTAACTGTGACACCTTTGTTGACATTGGAGGAGAAAAATGTCTCCATGCCACTTTACTCAATGTAAAAAATTTTATTTGAGTCTTTCACTGTGATCCTCTGACAAATGGGGACCCATCACAACTTGGGGCGAGGAAGGTATATTCAGAAAGATAATTCTAGATTGAGACATCAGTACTGATTTAAGTCAAGGGATAATTTAGAAAATATATAAATTAAAAAACTGAATTGAAATCACTTAAAAAAATTATACAATGTTTTAATTTCATTGTTTTGTTTTGTTTGTACATCTTAAAAAGTGCTTGAAATTTAATTAATTTCATGTCTGTCTTTTAGCTTTTCAATTTAATTGAACAATTTCTTCTCAGAAATGTGAATTAAAATCAACTTAAATCAAATTTACACATATTGTTGCATCAATTTCAACATTTACCAGCACATAACAGTACAGTTCTTAGCATATCTTTTTCTGAATCTAATTAAACATTGGCCAACCTGAAACAGGCTGAAAAAAAACAAAGAGAGAAGAAAAGTT